TTATAAATAAATTAATTTGTTCCAGAAAAAAAATATTAAACTAAAATTACCTTCATATTTCAACTTTTTGTCAGAAATTGCATTAATAGACACAAGACATGTTTGAAAGACTGTATAAAACAAAAGTGATAGGTGGTAGGGTAGTGAAATAGGGTAGGAGGAGAATGGTTTTCACAATTTTGAACACTTTTCAAAAAAAAAATTTCTCATCTTCTTTACACCTTTATTTTTTCACTTGGATAGATATAACTTTTCAAACTTTCTTAGGTGCCATCTCAACAGATGGAGGGCTTGGTTCACACACTTGAAATTTGAAATGCCTGGAATAAACATTTAGTTGAGTTTTAAAATTGTAAGAATGTATAATTTTCTGGCAAATTATTAAATTCCTCCTCAACAAAATTATTCAGCTATAATGAAATGCACAGGGCAGTACAGAACACACAAAATTCAAAATCCCTCCTAAACACAGTTATTCAGCAATAATTGGCTAAAAAAAACTCACTTCCTCCCAGGAAAACCATTGGTCCATGTATGGTGCAAAAAAAAGGTTGGTGGGAGGGAGCTGAAGAACCTCAGAAGCTGTTGTATCATGAAACCCTGACGTGAGTCTGGGTTTTTTTTTTTTTTAATTGTCGTATGTTGAAACCGACGTAACATGGGCCCGTCGTAAGACGGGGGGGGGGGCCCTACTGTAATTCAATTTGTATGATCCTCTCACATTTTTCCTCGTGAGGAATTGATTTTTGGCCAGACTTTAGCGACTAACTTCGTACTTCAAGATCATTCAGAACAGGCGATCGAATGCAAAAACTCACGTGTCATTTGAAGTTTGAAGTTCGTTTAAGGAGTCCGGCCTGTAAAGCGATCGTCCTGAAATGCTTTGAATTTGAGCAGTCTTGTTCCAAGGATTATCTAAGCTCAGTCCTACCTGCCAACAAATCGTCGTGAAAATTTTGAATTTTAAAATAATCGAGCAATTTTATTGACGGGTATGTTCTCTAAATCGAGTCTCGCATGTACGGTACCCAGAAGTTGGTCGCCGCGTAAGGTTTGTGCTTGATGAAACACTGGGTTGCCGTGAGGAACAGGTTTTCCCGCAACAGTGCTCCGACGCATTCCAAAGGAGCGCCTTTGGGTCCTGGTCCTCGTCCCACGACTCCAAGAAAGGGCACATGCATACCTCGAAGCCAGGTGGGGTTTTTTGTTGTTGTTGTTGTTGTTGCAAAAATTTCGTTTTATTTAATGCTATCTACTTTTTATTTTTGAGAATTCACTGACTTACCTTTCACTGTCTCCGCATCTGTTTCAGCGTCAGGAACTAGGAGGGGGAAATATTGTTTTTAATGACGGATTATGAGCTGGATTATTATTGCGTAGATAGAAGACGTCATTCTTTCTTACATGCACCTTAAAATTCCAGTAGAAGTTTTGAATAAATTTTTTTTTCGAAATTCAATTTAAAGCAACTTTGGCCCAGGTAGACGTATCTTTCTGGGCGTATTTATAGTTCAAAATTTTTACACTGCAGTAATGTGAAGCATCTATTCTCATGTTTAATCAAACAATTTTAAAATTGTTTTCAGATGTGACAAACGCAATTTCACACACAGCAAAAAAATTAGATTTGTAAAGTCTCATTACAAATGTTTAGCATGCTGAGAAATGAGTATAGGAACTTATGAAGCTTTGGCAATTACCAAAGATTTTCTCCTTTCATTACTGTCAGCAGTAGTGTCTTGAAAAATTGTCATAAAAATCTGGAAAATAACAGGCTCTTTAAATAGCACAAAGCAAATTGTTCAGAAAAAAGTGTTGTTCTAAAAATGTTATGCTTGGAAAAAATATTTCAACAATTTTATATAAGTTTTGAGGATGTGTGAAAGTCGGACAACCCTTGAATTTTTTTGAATAAGTCAGAAACTAGCTCATTTTAAACTTGGAAAAATTGCGTTAAACTTCAGAATATGAATGATTCAAGCAGTCATCCTATGCTTATTAAACTCCCTTTATGTATGCCTTTGGTCAGATGGATTCTCCCTGCAAAGAAATTCATGGGACCAGAAAAGATTCCTTGCAGAGAAACCCTATAACATGTGCTGGAGAGAGCCCTATGGAAACAACACTTGAGTACTTTACTGTACCACACACCTGTACCGTCTAACATACTGTATTTACTTGAGTATCGCGCGGAGTTCGCGGACGTTTCTTCAAAATTACGAAGATAAAAAGAGGGCGTGCCTCATAGACGGGTATAACGTTTCAAAAATGTTTGAAACTTTGATGCACATCATAATTGATTTCACCAGGGAAGTTATAACAAATTTCAATAGAAAATTTTTAAAAATGGAAATGATTAAAAATGCTGAAAATCAACATTCAATTCAACTACAACCGGAATACAAATTTGAATTCTGATCTATTTTATTCTCAAAATATTTCAATTTGCAATCTCTAAAACTCGGGTGCGCGTCTTACTTTGGGGTACATTTTTATACAAATATCAAGATGAAAAATTCAAATAAAAATGGTAAAACTTCAAATTCAAATACAACTGATGGAAAATTCAAGTACAAATGATGGAAAATTCAAGTACAAATTATACAAATTAAAATACGAATGATAAAAATGCTTATTCAAATAAAAATTATAAATTTCAAGATTGCTCTAGAGAGAGTCCACCTGTGGCTGTATAACAAGTTACCTTGTGTACTGGAAGTGGGAGGAAGAGGAGGCGGGGATGGTGGAGTTGGTGGCGTTTGTGGTGTTGACCCTGTCCCTGATGGCATTGTCGTGTAACCTGGACTTGTGTAAAGTGTACTTCCCGTCTTGCCTTCTGCAATGCATGCAACGAAAGACGAATTGTGGAACTTCTTTCCCTTGAATCCGAAACATTTCTAATTTCACTTGCCTGTTCCACCGCCAAATAAATCTAGGGGCGTTGTTGCGAGGGGCAGCAATGCCTTATTACTCTTGGTGGTGATTTGTGTCGGTTGTGCAAAATGGTGAACGTGAGTTTGGTTCGTCTCATCTGAAAGACAACATTTTTTTTAAAGAATATAATATGCAGACTGGTGTTTCCTAACCTTTTTTGGGCCCAAGGACTTGCAAATTTTCAAAACATATTTTTTGGACTGGCAAAATTCCATAAAACATTTTGTGGATTGACAAAGTTCCTTGAAATTTTTTCAGACATACTAGCCTGTTTGTGCAATCAGAACTTTTATTGAAAAAATTAAGCAAAGAACCTATATGAAGCAGCTATAGTGGAATAGTCTTTTTAAAATTTGGAAAGGCAGGCTTCAAGAAAGGATTCCTGGGAAGAAAAATTAAAATTCTATATTTCAATAGGTGAAAATTTGTTAGAAGTGGTTTTAAAAGAAAAGCCAACTTTTATTTTTCATCAGATGATTCCAACTGTAATTGTCTATCCAAAATTCCAGATCAAGATAACGGACTTCATTGCTACTTTTGATAGATTTATTATGCTCAAGAAAATTTCCCATGGACCAGCAAAAGACTTCTATGGACCATGGTTCTCTATCAATGTTTGATTGATATTCCCATGCATAAGCGCAGTGCCCACTGGGATAACCTCTGGTGGGACATTCATACAGTAAATCCAATAGCCTTCTTTTTATGCAATCAAATAAAAGGGGGCCCTCTAAATTTTTATCAACTTTGATTCTGATTTTTCTGGGGGAATCAATGTCTTTATATTTACAGCAATGCGTAAATTGAAACATATTTTTTCACCCTCTGATATTTGCTCAGTCAAGATGAAATTTTCACAACACTACATTATCCAGGAAAAAACAACATACATGTACAGTAATTTAAAAATAGTCAATGATTTCAAAATGTATATTGGAGGAGAAACAAAATACCTGTATGTGAACATTGCTAAAATCATTTCAATTTGATGAAAAGTGTGAATCTGATGCTTCACCCTAAAGATGAAAACTTGAACAAATATTTCAAAAGTGCTGTATTTTAGAAGGCATCCAATGTTCCAGTAAACCATTTTGGGTACAGGAATGGAAAAAAATTTTCAGGAAATTTTCTGCAGACTGGGGGACATTTTGCATAGCTGCAGCTTTCCATGAAGCATATGTTTCAAGACAAGATGTACAAAAATATGCTGACTCATATACTGTATTTTTAATAAACATCTCAAATGTCTTTCAAATTCCTTCTCAAATATCTTTCAAATCCCTTATGAGTTGAAAGTAACTTTATTTATTCTGATGATTAATGCTTTCCATCACTTTCTGGGTGATGTTTTAGGTAAAAAGGAAAACATTGAATAAGTTTACTCAGTGACTAAGCTGAAACACGTGCAATTTTTCTGTTGCAAGTAACCCTGCATTTAAATAAATGATGGTAAATAAAATCAGTTTGATGGGTATTTTCTTCCTCTTGCCAGAAAATGGAGTTTTCTTTCACTAAAGTAATGAAAAGCATCTGCACTTCATTGCAATTACTGTAGGTTACAGCAGGTTTCTCAAAAGTCCTGCTAGTCATCAACACAAATGCTTGAGTGTGTGCAATCTGGGGGCCATACCTCATCAATTTTTACATTATTCAGGATAATAAAACTATACCTTCAAATTAATCAGATGTTGTAAAAGTTGACGAGTGCAGTATTTACAATCTCCAGGGACTTCTGATGTTAAATATTGGCCTTTTTGGATTGCTTTCTTTTAGGTTACACAATTCCACTTCTTCAGAGTGATTCTCAATTCCTGCCTGACATTTTCCCAAAACCTTTCTATATCCTTTCTACATCCTCAGATACCTTCACGGAGGGCACCTCTTGATCCACAGTTTCCCCTTCTTAGCATGTATATGATTGGGAGGATCACTGACACAATATATTGCATTTATAATTACCTCCCAAATATTTTCAGAAGTAATCTGTAGACTTGTAGGGACAGGTGTAATATACAGTATATCATTTTATTTCTTAATGGTTTTTCTTCCTCTTTTCTGCTTTTAGATGAACACAACCCTAGTTTTTCTGTTCAAATGCATCCCCCTCAGATCACTCATTGTCAGAATAATCAATCACAGAAAACACAATTCATGACAATAAGTCAATGACTACAAAAATGAGTCAATGTAGGGGGAGAAAAGATTATAATTCTGGGTACTATGCCTGCATGTTATGGCCATTTTATTTTATTATTTTCAGCAATACCAGCGTTTTTCCATTCTGCATTTATTTATAGGGTCTTTCTGAAAAATATTTTTCCTTCATACATACAGCATGGAAATTATTTTTCAGAGATGGAAAGCTATTTTTGGCATTTTTTAGTGAAAATTAAAGTTTTTGGGAAACTAAATTCAAAATTGAGCACGCTGTAGCTGAATTCACAAAAAAATAGCTGTTGTGCTTCAATTTACATACACTTGTTCATGTGTATTGTATATGTATGCATTTTTGGAAGATAAAAAAATTCAAACTGAAAATGAACACCAAGTGGTACTTACAAAAATTATAACAAACCATGTGTTGGTTTTTTTCCTTATTTGGCTTTTTAACCAAGTATGTCAGCCTCGTTGAACCGCCCCCAATAAACTGCCACCCTCACCTCCTGCCAAAATGTTACCCCAAACAAATCTCCCCAGTGTTGAAAGGATGGGGCACCCTCAATAGGCTGCCATCCGCCAACAATTTGCTGGCCACAAAACACCACCTGCCTTTGTTTTTTACCCCGTTAAACTGCCAATTTTGTTTATTTCCTGACCAAGGCTTTCCTCCCACTTTTTCTTCAAATTCTTTCACTCTGTACTTTTTCTTGAAACAAGCAGCATTTTTCCTTCTTCCAAATATTACCTTCAGAGTTTAATTTTTTCTCTATAAATCCTTGAATGTTATGGTCTGCAAGCACTCTTCAGAAACTCTTCTGACTCTCCAAATGATGTGCAGCTTTTTTTTTAAATATCAAATTGCATTCAGATTGGCTGCAAAACATAATTATCTTCTTGCTTCCAACAAGAGATTCCTTCAAAATTTAGAATACTGCTGAAAGTTAAGCAGGGAATGTATTATTGAATTTTTTCAGACATTTGTGGCTTGTTTGACAAATTCATGGATTCTTCCTAATATTTTAAAAATTTGTATTGATATTCTTTTACTGAAATCAAACCCTGCTGATGTTTAAAATGTATCACCATGATTGAAGTTGTCAACATGCTGCAAACAAGGGAATTTACATGGATGTGCTGGGGTAATTTTTTGAAATATTTTTAGTTTATAAAAATAAATAACCCATTCTATTGCACAAAAATTAAATGAATAATTTATATTTTCAATCTTCATCAGCATACCAATTGGCAAGTCATTTTAAATCANTCCCCCCCCCCCCCCCCCCCCCCCCCCATGACCCATCACCCTCCATAGACCGCCACCCTTTTTAAACTGCCAAAATCTTGCTGCACAGATGTTGGCGGTTTAACGGGGTTTGACTGGTGCATAAGAAATTATTTAACGATTCCCTTCAAATTTCATGTGTTGGTGCTTTCACTGTTTGTATATCTTTGTTATTCTACGTAGGTATACAGCTGGGCCAACATTCAAATGCCAACTTCTCTCTTATGAGTGGCTTCAAGTGAAAACCATTCTTAGCTTCCTGTATATGCTGAGGTCAAATTTGGTTGGAGCTTATACGAGTTTCTATGCAACTAATTTTCCAGATCTTAATTACCCTCAGATATTTCAGTGGCTTAAATTTTTAGCATGAAGGGAAATGATGCGTTCAAATGAGAATGAAGAGGCTCCAGTCAGATTTGAAGATATCATTCAATAAAGTTTCCATCAGACATAGACATTGGTCTTATTTTTTCATAAGATTTCCATCAATTTAAGTACAGTAATTAATTTGACTATATTTCGCCCATTTCTAAGTGGATGAGGTGCCATTTATCACCCTTCAACATGCAAATTTGCCCCAAGTTGAAACCATGCCTGCGTATATCTGCTAAATAAACAATTCATTGTTTCCATGAAAATGATAAAATGGGTCCCCAAAAAGTGTGCCCATTTGTAGAGTCTATTTTCTACATGTTTTTGATGCATTATTGAACGACAATTTTACCTTCTAGGGGGTCCCATTTTGTAGAGTGCTAGCATCTCCATTTGGAAGGTCCTATATGACTGACCCGCTGATATTTTTATTCAAATGGTTGCGCATTCAATGAAAATTCATTTTCGAGCAGAATTTAACGTGATTTTTCGATGTTTTTCTAAGGCGTTCCTGCTGTTGTGACTTCAGAAAAAATTTACTGTTCTAGAGAATTAGAACTACTGTATTTGGCGATGATCGAGTCACTGATGTTGCAGATCTAAATATTTCCGAGACCTCGAAAAATTGGCAGAATCTTCAAGATGGCTGAAAAGCCTCAGAACAAGCATTGGAATTCAAGTATGGAACGTATCTTTGAGGCTTTCCAGCAGGTAATTATTTTTAGGAGAGTCGAAAAGTTTAGTTCTCGCTTATTGCGAACGCTGCTGGTGTGGCACATTTTTAGGTCGATTTTGGTTTGATAGGACGGTACAGCAGCTAGTATGATATGGAATCGATCTAAAGGTGTTTTTGCTATCTCAAAATGCAATTCGGTACATCTAGTGCAAGAGGCTTGTCATTTGTGCTGTTTGAGTGGATCGGAAAAGTGGAGCCAACTTGAAGTTCGTAAGAGTTATTGTGACTCACCGGGTCCTGCTTCCTTCATAGCACTCTTGATCCATTCCAAGAAGTGCCCTACCCTCGTGTAAACTCCCGGCTTCCGTTTTTGTGCGCATCCATAGCCATAGGAGACAATACCGCAGAGATACAATTCCTCAGGTTCAATGCTGGCTGCCCTGCGTTTCGCGATGTGCCTAGTGGGCATCTTGCAAACCAACGGACCGCCGGAGTCACCCTTACACGAGTCTTTCCCTCCTTCGTCGAATGCTCCTGCGCAAATGTGGCTATCCCGAACATTGTACACGGTTTCGCAGAGCGTCAAGGGGACGATTGGGAGAGCCAGCCTCTGAAGTCGGTTCGGCATGAAATCCTTGGTCTTGATGGACGTGTACGTGACTGGCATCGTGCTTCCCCAACCCGAGACGATTCCATACCCTGTCGTGAGAATAAAATTTCCGGTACGTAGTTCGAGTTTTACGTGCAAATGAGACACTTTGATATCTCATATTTGAATTTTTATCGGTATGTATAGTATCGCGTTGAGGGTCCGTTTGAGTCGAGATTGATCGTGCATCAGCTGAGAAGTGTTCGCGTATGTGGAACGAAGTGAAAATGAACAATCTAGTAAATATCATGGTGAAGACGGGACACGAGTTCATTTTTCTTTGTACCTGTTGGTTCATCCGCAGTCAGAGGCAATTGAATGGTCTTGACCCACTTCGTGAGTTTAGCTCTGCCGTGAAGCAAAACCAAGGCGATGTCGTTCATGATGGGTGAGCTGAAATGTGTGAATGTCGCCGGTTGAGATTGACTTATAAATCCATGTGTCAGATTGCGGTATTGTACAGTGTTATAGTGTATGCAAACCTTCTTTCTTGGTAGTCTCGATGAACGACAACCTTCTCTATGTCGAAGCGTTGTTCGTCTGGGTCCAGGACAGAGAGATCCGTTTCCCCGAGAACAACCTGTAAGATTTCCACGTGATTCCGTCATTTCAGTATAGTGCTAAAACATTATTTCAGGTTTACTCACGATCGAGTTCTCGCCTTTGGGAAAGCAGTGAGCCGCGCTGAGGACCCAAGCAGGTGCTATCAGGATTCCTCCACAGTGCATTTCGGCCCTCCCGTCGCCGTTAGGGAAAACTAAAGCCGCTTGGTACGGGATTTCTCCTTCAGGGGACGAAATTTGGTCAGTATATGGTATCATTTGCTGCCATTCCGTGGGACGATTTTTCGACGACCGAGCGGAAATTAATGCCTGTTAGCTGCTATATGCTGGAAAATATGTCGCTGAAGCACGAGGATTATGTTTCAGATGAGGTATGACGTTGAATTAAACTCAGTATGTGTATTTTAGGAACTTTTGCTTAAGTATCATGTAGTTGCAGTGGCGTTTCGACCACCAGTTCCTTTTTTGTCGAGAAATGGGACTACAGAATGTAGTCGATCAGCACGCTTTTCTTCGTTTGAACTACAATATTTGTTCGGGGTGTCTCGAGTAAGAATTTGTATTTAATTTACGTTAATATTATTCTAAGATGGTTTAAGAAATTCGCCGAGTTTGGAGACGATAACATTAGGAATCAAAAAGGGGCGGTTTAGGAACAAAAGCCTTATTTTCTTCTAACGTGTCATGTGATTCATGTCTATGCTGGATGACTCAGACAGAAACCCTGGGTTTCAGCAGCATTGATAATTATTTATTTAATTATTTTTCCCCGTGGTAAAAAAGTAAAAGATAAACCCGAGGCTTGCAAAATTATGGAAAAATTCTTCGAGATTACGGGGAGAATAATTTCAATATTTTTTTCCATTCTTGAACACCAGCAGCAACCTTTTTTTAAACATTTTTGAAATGGGAAAAAATTGTATCCCTCTTTACTGCTGGGACTGTATTTTCAATTAGTACATTGGATATTATTGATTGCAATATTTTAATTGCTGTTGTGGAAGTTCCATGGAACCAACAGGTCTGTCAGAATGCATAACTTATAGTTTATATACAGACAGTAATTGGCTGGTCGGGTTAGTCATGGACTCATGGTCATGTTTTTGTGAAGTCATCTTTCTTGAGCAGCATCTTATATTGTAATTGCATTCTAGGACTAGTCTAAGAATAGTAAGAAAGTACATATATATGGAGTCCATTTTTATCTGCATCGTACATACAGTGTATTATTCTTTGAGACATTTTGAAATGGTTCACAAAAACTTTTTAATTATGTGAACCCCTTTGTTTATGGATCTAAATATACAGTATATATATACAGTAAATATATACAGTGAGAAATGGAAACATGAACTCTCTTATATACATGCAAAGCTTTTGGCGAATTAACAAGTTTTTCTTGTTAAGTTTTGGAGGAATTTTGTTAGTTCAACAAAATGAATGCATGAAAATTAGTATGGTATCACATTACAGCATTACTAGTACTGTACAGGTGTTTACACATAAACTCAATGTTTACACCTAATCCATTGCCAAACTAGGGGTTGAATTGCATATTGGTCAAATTGTGAGACACTCTGTCAAATTCAAAAATAATGAAAGAAAATTGGAAAAGCAGGTTGAATTGCGGGGCAAGGGTCGAATTGCACGTCAATCTCCCTGCAAATTTGACTGTCAAATTGCAGGATGGTCAACTTGTGCAAGGTCAAATTGCAAGCTACCACCTGTACATATTTCTGGACATTGTAGCCATCTTTAATTCATGTTGAACTTGACGGCATGGAGCATTTATTCACAAGCATGCATGATTCAGCAATACAGTTAACGTATTGAAGCAGAGCTGAACATCAATGATAAATGCAACCTGACCGGACCTGTATGAGGGAGCATATTAAATTAAAGAGGAATGACTCGTTTTTTCACTGTGTTCGCTCCTTTTTTCATTCAGTAGTATGATTTTCTTGGCATTTTCTGTTGACAGATAAGGGTACCTAGTATTATTCGGTAGCGACGAACTGCTCCATGATGGAAGCGTGAGACGAAAAGATTTCGAGTTTATGAGTGGCTCGATAGAACATTGTTTTTCTCATTCTATTACTTATTATCAATGCAGAGGTGTCTGAAACCTTCTGGGGAAGGAATTCTTTGAAAGAGTGTTCGTGTATATGTGAGGGTTATTGTCACAGTTGGAGGCGGCCTCTGATATTTCTTGAGTATGTGAGATTATTTTTTTTTTAAATCATGACATAGCGGGTGATTTTTTATGGTTCTGGGATTTTTCTCGTTTTTTAAAATACATTTTCAAGTTTCTGCTTGATGGTGAGTGAAAATGTTTCAGTTCATTGAAAATTTGTCAGTCGAACTGTAAGCAATTAATACAAAGAAAAATGCAAAATTTTTTAGATGGCCTGACACATTTTTCGTGCTCTTGCTGTGACACGGGTAGAGAACTCCGGCTTTAAGTGGAATTTTTCACTCAACATCTTGCAGGAAGTTTCTCTTAAAAATCTGGAGAAAAAATCTCAGAGCCTTTTAGAACAGTGTGGATGTTTTCTTTTTACAAGAATAATTCATTATAATATCATAGGCCGCGTTCAACTGAGAGAACCCTTGTATGCGTGCGGTTCTTTTCCATCAGTATAATTGATTATATGGGGTTCAAATAATTTATATCATAGCTGTTGAATAATTCCATAGAGCAAATAAATGGTGGGTTATTCTTGCCTTTTTCTGCCACAGTCCCTCCGACGATCCTGTGAACCCTGCCAGGTACCTGCTCCTTATTGTCATCGTCGTCGTCGTCGTCGTATCTGGCCGGGTTACTGTTGTTGAAGTACTGCAAGGATGTTTTATCGGCTCCATTCCGCCGCGATGGAAGGTGTTGGCCTTCGGAATCAGTACCGTGCACTGTACTCGAAACAATTAACACACGGGTCAGAAAATCGCTGCAACTGTACTGCATTAAACAACTATATATACAGTACGGAGTACTGAATATTGCCGGGCAAGGATATAAAATGAAGTCCCCGTTGTATATATATGCACAGCGTACCTGATGTTAAGGCAGCGGAAAATAGAATGAACGCCGGACACAGTCGCATATTGTGTGGGGGAGAAGAACTCGATAATAATGTGCTGATAGTCGCATGCTGTGATTCGAAGAAAGGACGAATTTTTTGCTGTCCTGCTTTATTTCGCAAGCACAAACTCGGGATTATTTTTGCAGAAAAAGCCGGCAGTCCGGTGATGTTTGCGAGGATTCTCTTCGTGGGCCTGTTTTTCTCGCCTCGAATTGAAAGAGGATGATAGAGCGCGTGTACTTCTCTGATGATGCGGTCGGCAATTGGATTTTTACACATTGGATAAGAAATGGAACGTGGCAATAAAATAAATACGTTTTCGAGGATGCTGATTCAGTACTATATATAATAGATGATACAGTATATGCAAATGTATTGCATTAAAATATTACGCATGCAAACTGTGTACTCTGTTAAGAGCCTCATTAGGACTGAATATATGCACTTGCACTTCCCATCACCAGCATCATTACCTTGCAGACTATTTCTGCTTCATATAAACTAAAAAATAAATAAACAACGTATTCAATAAAAGCATTTATTCATTGCCAACTCAACTGCTGCATGTTCCCTCTGAAATAGAGCAGTATTATTTCAAACACATTGTTTATTTGAATTTATTTTTAGACATTTCGTAACTTTAAAATAAATCAAACAGGATATAATAATGAAATCGTCATTATGCTTCATAATTCCTATAATGCTAACTTATACAAAAATATTAGCATTTTTGTGTGGTTTTCTAATATGATACACATTTATAGATATTCCATTTTTTTGTGCCAATGAGAAAAAATGCGTATGAACCATGCAGCATGGCAGCATGCATGCCCACCCATAATAAAGTAAAATGGTTATACTGTAATGAGCTTATTGATATGTTAGAATGACATTTTGAAAAGCTGATGTCGGGACCAACTAAAACACGATTTTTTTCGATGGAATTTTAATGTAATTCCATTAAGCATAATTAAGAATAAGAGTGTAGAATACTGTATTATTCTGGTATTAGTCCTTTTAATGGCCCTTTGCTTGGCATTTTAGGACTCATCAGCCGCTGCATTCCATTATACCAGCACGTCCTATGAGTGTAACTTATTCATCCATATCATTCCGGTTTTGATGATTCTTGAGAAGTTTAGGTATTTTTGTCCGAAACGCGAAGTTGACTTATTGACGCGTTCTCCGTTCTGACGAGCTCATTTTTTTATTCTGATGTCAACTGCTGGTCTGCTGCTGATGGCGACACGCCTGCCGAAGAAGTGCTGCTATCCTTCGTTGAATTAATCAAATATGGTAACCTGTTGAGGTCAAGCTAGTCGTTACTGTATGTGGAAAAAATGCCAAGAAAGTAGCTTCCCCATCATCAGGACATGCTTGGGTACATTGAATCAATGAGGCAAACATCACCATACTGAAAATGTGAAAATTTTCCTAGTGGATATCGTTATTATACTTCTGGAATTTTAAATATCAGTGCTGAATCATATACAGTAGTTAAAACAGGATCTCAGACGTTATTTATGAACTGTTCAAATTAGTTTCATATTTAATTGAGGCACATTTTCTGCATTACTGTACATGCAGCTATTCCTCAAATAAATCTGAAGTTGTTATCATTTGGCCTATAATCAGTATATACCCTGCTGTGTGGGACTAGGAAAATTTAATATCAAGGCGATAGAAAGGGGTTCACCCAATAAACATGCAACTGCTGAAAAATTAATGACAGTGCTGGGCAATTGTATGATACCCATGCTTGGGAAGTTCAGAATCTAGTCAGTTTTTTAATCAGCTGATTTAATCTCATTGAAAGGATCACCAATTTAAACTTCCTGATGATTATTTGTTCTGGAAATGTCCCCATAATTACACTAATTTCACAATAACTCCATTAAAACTCCGTGTGCAAGATGCTTTTGGGTTCCTCTTCCTGATAAAGTTCAATACAAGAGATATCCAATGCAGGAAAAGCATATAAAGTACAGTACAGTACACCAGATGATTCATTTAGGCATTTGTATGACAGGCGACCTCTATATGCACATTCCAGCATGTTCACAGTTAACTGTAAGAGTAGAGGAGATTCACAGTTGTGATCACGCAACCTTTGCTGCGTACAGTGGGATCTGAAGAATTGCGGGGATCGTAGTGTTCCGTTCTCTTGCTCGAAGTGAATCGTTGCTTCCGTAAATTAAGCTTTAAGCTCTGCATGTGATATTAGTTTTCTGGAGAAAAGAGAGTTCCGCAGTCATTTTGTGACCCAAGTTAGTATTTTATCTGTTCTTCATTATAGAGGAACTAATCGTTAAAGTGCAGTATTCATATTTGTCCTGTAATAATATGGACACGTTCCGTTCGATTGTGTGGAACGTTCACTGAATCGTATGGAGAGAAAGCTGTCGCGTTGAAGTTGATGTCGGAACCACCGTTTTGAACAAGTCTTGGTACGTTGACCGGGAAAGATTCATTGCATGTCCTAAGAAAAGTGCACTGTATGAAGTTCTGGTGTAAATAGGAGTGATGGTGTAAATCTGCTCGTCCATCATGAATGGGTTAAGGGCCGTTGACTTGATGGGGCTTCTTCAGGAAAAAATAGCTTTTCTCACTGGAGGAGTTGACAAACGCGGAGGCCCCATCTTATTGTTTCCTGCGAACTCAAAATTGGAGAAAGTACCGCCCGAAGATCTGAAGAAATTACTCACCTATCTCACTTCCATCCCGAGGTAAGTTATGTTTTCACCATCGATGTCCGTCGAGTTACTGATGTTTTCATTAATCGCAGTGAGGAAATGCGAGAGCACGGTTTTACTGCTATCATCGATATGCGCGGAATGACATGGGGAGCAGTGAAACCTGTGTTGAAGCTGTTGCAAGAATGTTTAGGAAGCAGTATTCACTGCGCTCTCATATTGAAGCCTGATAATTTCTGGCAAAAGCATCGGACTTCATTGGGATCCCAGAAATACAAATTTGAAGTGCGTGCCGGTTTTGATTATTTTGGGGATTGGCACGCTTTATTTATTCATTTTCCTTTCTAGACCGTGATGGTCAGCTTGGAAAATATATCGAGGTACGTGGAGGCATCAAATCTTACACCGGAACTGGAGGGAACTTGTCCGTATGATCATGCTCTATGGATTGAGTTGCGCGTGGTGAGAATGAATGTTTTCCTTATGCAGATGCGGTGAATTCACCGGCAGGGAAATGGTATTGCTCAAAAATGCGGACGTACGCAGTAGAAGTCGGTTAAACGAAATAAGTTCATCTGTTGAAATATCTAAAGACTGTATTCGAAATATTTTAGGTTCTCTGTTCGGTAAATGTATCCATTCCGTTTCAGGCAGCTTAAAAATGTTTGTACACCGTTTTCCGCAGGCTCTCGAAAACTTCTCTTGGCAAGCAACAGACCTTCTGGATCGCTTGGAAGACGTGAAGGATGAACTTTCTAGAACCGACTGTCCTTCAGATGTCGTGTCGGCGAAACGTTCCATTGAAGAGCACAACGAACTCAAGAAAAAAATCGTCCGAACTCCTGTTGAAGAGCTCGACCGCATGGGACAAAAAATCCTTCAGAAGTAGATACGATGCATTGCTGGAAAGTTTTGACTTGCATTTCTGACATATTTTGAATTAATTCATAGATTCAACGCAGGTGAAGGTTCGAGCTCAAGTCACGACTCCGGTTATTCTGGTAGAGACTCCGTTTCCAGTTCTATCGGCAATCATGGTGGAACGCACGCGAATTTGCAGCAGGTGAGCAGCATTATGCCTCACAATCTTGCAATTTTCCCCTACGATGTGCCCTTTTTCAGGTAATGGCTCTATTAAGCAATTTACGGCAGCTTCATCACGATCTCCAGCACAAGTGGCATCAGCGTAAGTCTCAGTTGGACCAATGCTTCCAGCTGAGACTGTTCGAGCAAGACGTCAGCAAGGTGCGATGACCTTGTGATTCATTTCATGGCTTTATGATTAAAGGGAGGGTTTTTCGCAGATGATCGAGTGGATTTTGTCGAATCGGAAAATGTTCCTCGCGAACTATACCGAAATCGGTCGGTCGCACGAAGAAGCCAAGCAGCTGGAAGAGGAGCACAATCAGTTCACTCTTTCATGCACAGTAAGTTTTTCTCTCTCAATGATGATCACTTTTAAAAGCTCATTTCAAACGTTCTTGGTAACCATAGAATGTGTACGTGAACATCAAACGGATTTTGAATGTTGCCACGAGATTAATCGACACCGGACATTACGCATCCCTTCATATTCAACAAGTCTCGGGAAGATTGGACAGAGCTTGGAAAGAATTCGCCGCCGGGCTCGATGAAAGGACTACTGTCCTAGCCCTTTCTGTCGTTTTTCATCAAAATGCTGAACGAGTGAGTTGGAATCTTCACGTAGTTGATGTGTAGTTGGTGTGCCGGTTCATGCGTGATTTTTCTTCATCAGTACGTGGAAAACATCGTTCTGTGGAGCAGAGCATGCGATGCGTCTTGTTTGCCCGGAGAAGTGGTGGCACTTGACGATGCCTTGAGACAGCATCAAGCTTTGTACGAGACCATTTGCCACGGTTACACTGAGGTGAGTTCACTGACTGATGGAGGTCACATATTTATATTCTTCGGTTGCTTCTTTTGTATGATATTTACCGCATTCACACGAACATGAGACGCAGTTTTCTTGACTTCGTAATCAGACGAAATGAGGGTGCCCGTTTTCGATCCTGGTGATGAATAGGTTACAAGTCATCCGAAAAGGTGCACACAATGAAAAAGCTAATGTCGCATCATCTCATGTAAATTCGTTCTACCGCATGAAAATTTCAAAGCTGATTAGTGTTGTGTGAATAGTGGACAATATGCGAAAGCACCTGGTGTATTTTACTGTGCGCAATATTTTTTTGAATTTAAATGGCCCTCTTGATTTGTGGGAGTTTAATTTTTCCTGGGAAGAAGTTAATTGAGCCTTCATTGTAGTTAATCATTGCGTTGCTTTGTGCTAGATGGGATACTATCGTTTAGAAATACTGTATAAATAGATACTTTTTTGGTCCAGAAAGGTGTGAAAATTTTTGGCGAATTCAATGAAAGATGATTTATCCAAGAATTCCTTCTTTTCTTTGAGGAAGAATTGAAGGAACGAGGTTCATCGTAGTATTGATCACGTCTTATATTCGGGTGAATGCGGATATTCTTCGTTGAGCTTCTTTTGAAGGGAATTGTGAGCCTTTTTTTTGCGGGATTTCAGGTTCATAGTACGAGCAAGAAGCTTCTGTACCAGCTGGACCACTTGGTCCAAGTTTGTAACCAGCCACAAATGGAGCTTCATTCACTGCAAAACGTTAAGGCAATAATTTTTGAGAGCATGTTGCGATATTATGAAGTTTTTTCGGGAAAGCATGTTTTCCGAACTTTTGGCATGCATTTGTGGACAGTTCAGTTTTCGATCGTCTATTGAACACGCATTTACTGTATTATTTTCAGCTTTATGAATTTATGAATCTTGTCTTCCGCGATGATTTATTTTGAGTTGAACTTCGTTGCATGTCAATTGACAACACGTGTATATGCGTCCAAAATAGCGCACGAGAAGCCTCTTCGAATTTCTTTGTGTGACGGTTTATTTCATATCATCGCAGGTGTCCAATGATGGGAAAGCTTTACATGCAACAGTCGGAAGACTCGCAGGTGCTACCAATCCAGCAGCGGATTATTCTGAAGGAGCTAGTCATGTTTTAGAAGTTATTCATTCCATTTTGGCTCATCACCAAACCTTGGAGCAACTCTGGCACTCGAAGAAATTGAAGCTGCATCAAAGACTCGCATTGCGAATATTCCAAGAGGATGTTCGTCTGGTGTGTGAAATTATTGTCTATGTCCGATTCTATTACGGTCTAACCTCGATAAGCCGCCACCATTTGTTCGTGAAGTTATTTGCAATGGTTCATCAAAAACGCGATACATCATGAAAATTGAGTATAATAGGACATAGAATTTTTTTTCTTCTAGAAAACATTAAAATAACCTTCGAATGCGTTATTAATATCTAGCTAATGTTCACGAAAAGTAAATAATGTAATCTTCGCGTTCGTGTTCTTTTTTTGCTTCTCACGGAAGCTGGAATCTTGTTGACGGGCTAGTGAAGACAAAATTTATTGATAGGCGCTTATTTGAATTGTCAATAATTTTGGCTGATGATATTTTAACAGAGTTTCCACTGCTTTTATCATTAGGGAAGATTCGTTTTACAAAATAAATTGGCGGCTTATCAGGGGGCGTCTGAACGCGGGTTGACTATATTTAATTATTGAATTTCATTCCGTGTCAGGTTTTGGACTGGTTGAAAAATCACGGGCAGGTTTTCTTGATGAACAATCGGGGTATTGGGAGAAATTTGCAGAAGGCGATTGCATTGCAGAAGAGTCACCAGCACTTCGAAAGAGTTGCAGCCGTGCGTCATTTTTTTTTATCCCTCCTGATTGTTTCTTCGCACTTGAAATTCACGTTTGATTCTGTAGAATACGTACATCAATGCGGAGAAGCTATTGGCAACTGCGCAAGAATTTGCTCATACTGGAGAGTGTGACGCGGCAGAAATTTTCCCGGTTGCCGAAGAACTCGATAGGCATATAAACAATTTCGCAGCTCGCGTTTCAAAGCGGAAGCGACTGCTTGAAATCGCCGTTAGTTTTTTCTCCCACGAAAAAGAAGTGAGTCCCCTCTCCGTGGCTTTTTTGCTGTTCAGGATGTTGATTGGCTTTATTTTTGTTATTATGTTAGCTGAATGAGTGGATCGAGGAATTGAAAACGGAATTGACGAGTAAAGATGTGGGTGCGAGTTTGGAGGAAACTGAGCAGCTGATGAGCCACTTCGCGCAGCAGAAGGATTCTACTATGCATGCGCTGAACAACACGGTTGCCGAGGGCCACGGACTTCTTCAAGAATTGTCGTGAGTTCTACTAGTTGGAAGATTTTTCGTTATTCACGCATGTGATTCCGAGTGGTATTCCGTTTTTGGAGACTCTTCTTCATAAGATTCACTTGGTCATTGAGTTGATTCAACGTGAGAAGATGTCTAAGATTTTTGAAGGGAATTTATTCCGAACCACTAGTCCGAGGTTTCATTTTTTAAGCGCTAGTTTTTTTGTCATTCGCGATCATCTTTTTTTTTCACTCAGATGAAGCGCGTGTGTCGGAGAGAAGTTATCTTTTGAGATTTTGTAGTACGTATTCCGGTTATTTCAGTGTTACAGACTCTGAGATTCTCGAAAAAAGTTATTCTTTGAAAATAAACTGTCATGGAAGGGAAGGAACTCATTTCTACATTTCAGTAAATTTGATCCGTACAAACATTTTTTGAGCGTCGAAATCATTAATAGACAATTTTGGAGTACTTTACAGTACAGTACTAAGGTTTCTACGTTTTGATGTGCCACTTTTTAAAATAAACGTGAAATCACATTGCTTCAAAATTCCACTTCCGGGACTTTTTCAACCTGCGAAAGCAGAATGCGTATACAGTACTGTACTGCATATATCGCCCTTCGAACTAATTGTTGGAAGAACGATTGAAATAAACTACTTGTAGCACTGTAATTCCCGTACCTTCTTCGGAAGTGCTGGGAAAGACTTCGATTCATGACGTTATTCGAAATATATTTTTTCTTACACAAAATTTTCATCTGTAACAAAATTATCCGAAGGTAGAATACCGAGAATGTCCGTTTTGAAAACTAATGTAATTTTAATTCTATTTATCCTCTTGAAAATGGCAGACGAAGAAAAAGGAAATACTGCATATTGAAATATTGTACACTACAATACTGTGCTTGAAAAATGGTCTTGAAGAATGAAAATCGATTCCCATTGACGAAAAAGTATATTTTACAAATATTGTAGGGAAATGTATAAAATGAATTCGTCTAAATTCTCTGAAGTTTTTTACTGAGAAACTACTGCTAATTTTCCTTGAAAATGACGGACCGTGTATAGAAACTTGAATATCACCCGTGTTAGTTGAGTAAATAGAACTACAGTAATACAAAAATTCGATCATGCTTTTGTAAGCGTCCTGATGGCTAATTCTCGAATTCGACCGTTCCCGCATTTGTTCAAGACCAAAAATTCTGTGATTTTGTCGTTGAAAGCATTTCAGTTGTTTATGAGGCTCTTCTATCTTGTGAGACGTTGATCGGTGAATTCACCTTCATAATCCATTCTCTCTCAAATTTCAGGGCTGTATCGCAGAGCATGCCTGGACAGAGTGACGTCACAGCTTCCATTTCCACGGTCGAAGGAATGATCGAGAAATTTAGGATATTGCGAGAAGAACTGGAGGAATATTGGCAAGCCAGGAAACTACGTCTAGAGCTCAGCTTGAGAGTTCGGTTGTACGAAAAGGATGCTTTGGAGGTCATGTCCAGGGTGCAGATGTGGGTCGAAGAGTCTTCCAATGGTGACGAAGAATTCGGAAGGACGTCCATGAGTGGACTTTTGCGTGGTATGATGCTTTGGTTATTTTCGCTTCTATTAATTTCTTCAAACTCTGTGATTTTCTCTTCGTTCCCTGTCGCAGTCAGAAGTTGAAAAAAAAATATTTCCCGGTCTAATCTTATGCTGGTTACGTTTGTCCATGTTCCAACAAGTTTCTGATGTGTTCAGCGTATAATTTCGATTTTTATAGTGTTGAAGAATCGACAGTTCCGGAGCTCTAGTCCTGGCGGCCGAGAAATCGAGTACAGTATACCGTTTTCCGAACTTCTGATTCACTTCAATTAGTCATAGAGTTGTCAGATACAATTTTGTTCCGAACGCTTCATGTTGAGTAACATCAGGTCATTCAAGGTGGTTTTCGTCATAGGGGAAGTTTTCTGCGCCATGGGACATCGCAGAATTCTAAAATGTTACTAAGCTTTTGATTAATTTTGGCTTGAGAACTACTTATTTCGCGTTGCCTGGGATTTGATCGCGGTATCTCTTTTCGCCGATGATTGTCATATTTTTTGAATTGAAATATTTTCCAGAAACGACGAGTCGCTCTTTAAGACGTGATGGTCCGGAAGTGGAGGAGATCGAGGAAAGGTTGGAGGCGCATTCGCAATCACTCGCAAATGTGCAAGCGAATATAACGCATATGCTCCAGCGTGGACACGAGTTAGCGGAAGTGAGTCCTTCTTTTGTTCACATCTCATGGGCGGTGAACTTACGGAATACGGAGAGTCCTTCGCGAACTCTCGAATTATTGCGAACGTTTACGTCCGGAAAGTTTCACGGCATTTCAGTTTCGAAAAGATGAATAGCCTGTATTTATTTGAGTACAGTACCACGCGCCCTCGAGTAAGACACGCACCCCCATTTTTTGCGAGAAATTCTTCTAAAACCTATCCCCGTTTAAGACCCGCACCCCAGTTTTTGTTGTTGCTGAAATTAAGAATTGGAAAATATTGTGTGGTTCTATTTTCACCGATTGATATTCAGTATTTCCTGCTTTTCACTCTTTGCTGGAACAGTTGTGCTTGCAATATGCGGAAGCTTCTTCAATTGGATGAATATCTTGTACTGTACTTCCTTTATCATCTCCTAATAATATATTTGTAAAATTGTTATTGCTTGAACCATTATTTATGGTGGGCAAGGTGACTTGGCGCCACAAATTTTCTCTTCGTTTTTTCTTTATTTTTTCCCCCACTCACATGCTCATTGTGGGCACTTGTTTTGGGGATTTTCCCGTCAAAAATGTATCCTCAAGTACCGCGCGCACCCTATTTTTCTGCCTAAATTTCTGCAAGAAAGGTGCGCGTGGTATTCGAGTAGATACGGTATTCGATGGATCATCTGGATATTCTAATCGTGTTTTTTTTCTTAGGCGTTGAACAAATTACGGCTATCCCCGGACGGCGTTTGTGACTTGAATGCCAAGCAAAGAGTTGCTACGCTTTTAGGACATCTAACAGAGTTGGAGCTTTCCGTCGGAGCGACTGGAGAAGGACGCCGAGGATTGATGGAACAGAAACTGTCCTTGGCCCGTCTGCAGTCGGAAGCACAACAGGTTTTGGCTTGGATTCGCCAAGGAGAAGTGATGTTGCGAGCCACGTTTTCGTTGCCGTTCTCTGCTGCGGATGCGGAGGCGTCCAAAAGAGATCACGCGCACTTCCAGGTTGCGATCAAGGTATAGTATTTTTCGTGGCTTTTTTCCTGTCGCCCGATTTTCTGTAATGGCTTGACATTTTTAAACTTTTTTGAGTGTTCACGTCAGTTCGACGTTTTAAAGCGCGTAGTGGAAGAAGAAGAAAAAACCTTGATGATTGGCTTTCGATTTCGTGCTTAATTAGATATGATGAACTAGGATTGCAAGAATTTTTTTTTTCAAATTTCCGGCCGCTCTTGCTTCAAAAGAAATATCGCATGAATTTGCGTGTAGACTTAATCGCTGGCCTTATAGAAAATGCAGTGGGACCCCCGACGTACGGGCAATTCGAATGACGGACAATTTGAGCTCAAAAAATATGTCCCGATATCCGGACAATGTCTCGAGATATAGACACTTTTCCTACATTTCTAGAAAAATTGGAAATTATAATTTTTCAAACTTTTTATATCATGTGAACAAATTGAACTTTTTATTTTCACAAAAATTCAAAATGAAGTACGCTATAATTCATAATCCAAAGCAGGCTAATTTTTTTATATTAAAAAAATTCTTTCCATCCTCTATGTACAGTATAGTTTGCTTGTTTTTTACTTTTTTGGGCTTCTTTTCATGCCGGAAGATCAGATTGTGTTGTTTTCTTCTGCCCTGTTATTTATGGTTGTTGAAGGTGAGAAAAAAAAATGTTTTTTTTTTTCAATTTTTTCGGGGACTTTTCTTCATTTTCAATCAACAGGAGAACCAATTAAATATGTTCCCATTGAAATCTTAGGGAAAACGTGATTCAATATGCGAACGTTTCAACTTGGATACAAGGTCCTAGAACCAATTATGTTCGTGTCCGCATCTCGGGGCCCCACGAACGTATTTTAACCTGACAGAACCAAACCTAACGTGATCCCAACGCTCATGGGAATTCATTAATTCAGGATACACATCTAACCTACGAATCAAATCACGTGTTCGAAGACGCAGGATTTTGAAGTTCGAACCTGACACGATTTTTGAAAATTCTCCGTTCATTGCGAGTCGAATTAGTTTCTGATGATTTTTTTTTTCGTAGAAAACTCACGAAGCCGCGGCGCAAGCGAAACAAAGAGCGGAACAAATGCTCAATGCAAATCATCAGGATCATGAGGTTGTCAGGGAAGTGGCAGTGAGCATTCAGCAGCGAATGGAACAGCTTTTGATGTGTGCCGAGGACAGAAGGCGTCTTGTTCTTTATGCTAGCAAATTCTTCTCGACAGCAGATCAAGTGAGTGTTAGCCGTCTTCTGAATTCTGTGAAGCTCCGATCGCGTCGTTGTTTCTCATTCATTCCTGCGTTTAATCATGTGTTATGAAGCGTTATGATTTTAATACAATGAGAATCGCTTATTTTTATTCCGAGATTGTAGGGTTTGTCTTTCCTCTCATGAACTCGCCCAGGGAGAATCGATTCAAGGAAAATTTTATTTGTGTTACCTTAACTTTCCCGTGAGCATGAAATAACGTCAGGGAAACAGAAGACAGAACCAAGTGTCTCCAACTGGCAAACATGTAATATTTAAGAAGAGATTCTTGGATATTAGATGGCGCTTTTTTATATTCTTCTTGAAGAAGGTCATTCCCCTTTGAGAAATCTCGAGAACTGAAGAAGTCAAACTTTCGTGGTTCAACTGGTGTATTTTTTTCCTGAATGTTTTTTCTTCAAGGTTTCGTCGGTTCTCGAATCCCTGGAGAAAGAATACAAGAGAGAAGAAGATTGTTGCGCTCCCGAGAAGCTTGGAGTTTTCATTGCGACCACCGCTGGAGCTTCATCGCCATCAACACCGCCAACTGCGTCCCTGCCTTCCTCGACCAGGGATCGGGCGGCCTTGCTTCCGCTCATGATCACGAATTTCCAGAAGAAGAAAGACATGTTTCTTCGTGCGTGTACGTTAGTCCATCGTGCGTCCGAACCATTCCTCAAGTACGCCGAACGAAGCTGTCAAGGAGCTGGAAACGCAGGAGCATATGCCTCTGTGGAGGTGAAAGTTAAAGGTACGGAGAAAGTTTTCTCGTGTTTCTGGAAATCTGATTTTGACGGAACCTGTTAGAACTCAGTGTCTCGAACATTAGACGAAGAATTCTCCGAGCTACAATGTTACTGATGCATTGGACGGAAAATTCGCTGTATACCTTATCCTCAATAACCATGCGCCCTCGAGTGACGCCTGCACCTGCATTTGTTTTTTTGATAAAAATGTATCCCTGATCAAGACGCATACTCCAGTTTCAGGGACAGAAAATAAGAATATTATGAAAATAAAATACCGTAGATCAGAATTAAATTTTTCATATCAATTGTAGTTAAATCGAAAGTTGATTTTTGAAATTTCCCATCATTTCCATTTTAAATTTTTTTTACCGAAATGGAGTAAAAATTCCCTGGTGAAATCAAGATGAATGATCATTTGCATTAAAGCTTGAAAATTTTTTCATGTTATCCCCGTTTATGACGCATACCCTCGTTTTTTTCCTCTTAATTTTGACGAAAATTCCACGTGGTACTCGAGTAAATACGGTATACGGCACAGGTGGACTCTCTTTACAACCATCTTTCTACTGTGCCACGATTTTCCCTGCATAATTTCTTTTTCCATGTTGTAGGGTTTTTCTGCAGATAAATTATCTGTTGAACGAATTTTTTGTGGTCCCTTGAATTTCGTTGTAGAGAGAGTCCACCTGTACTTCACAGTATTTCGTTGTTGGGACTTCATGGTTGATTGACAATCTCAATACGGCGTGAAAAGCAATCATGGAAAATACCAAAAGAAAAGAACTGTAATCTGGCGACGTCATGATGCTCACAGCAGCATTTGTGCAAAATAATATTTCAGCGTCCTACAAAATTACAGCTTTGTTTGTTTAAGTCATTCACCTTGACAAGCGTTTCGAGTTATGATTTCCTTAGGAAGTGATGAAGCAATAAAGTATTTAAACGCAAATTGAAATTTTGCTATATTTGGCGTATTTAATCGTTAATGATTAATGCTTTTCTCAAGTTATTTAATTTGTTCTTAGCTTGCAACTTTTTAATTCTGTTATTGGTTGCGCAATTAATGGCATGTTGAGTACAACCACTGTTGTGGGACTCCCTCAGTTGTTCCGGCTCTTATTCATTTTGCACTGATCCTGTCTGTCGTGACTCGTGAGTTGCATCGAAAGTAGAAAGAAGCTCGGAATCAAATGAGAACATCCGGGATGTGGCCGCTATGGAGAATCACTCGACGGGACTGGGGATTAAACTAGATTATCCTGAATTAGCGGAAAAAAGCAGTTCAGTTCCGAATACACATTTTTTTTATTCTCTGATTGGATTCTAGACGTGCTGAACGGGATCATGCGACTTGAAAGCCGAGTTTTAGAGAGCTGGACGCAGAAGAAGCAGCGCATGGAGCAGTGTCACGATTTTGCGGTCGTGGAACTGACGACGCAGCAGGAACTCGAGTGGTTGCGACGTGAAGCTGAGGAGTACTTGAAATCTCGAGAAAACGGACTCCTCGTGAATTCCGTCGACGCGCAGAACCTGAAAGCTGAACATCAGGAGTTTGAGAATGGACCCAAAGTGAAGGCAAGAAACTGATTCAAACTGTACGATTCACGTTTTTTCTCACGTGTTTTTTTTTTGAAACGTGTTTCAGGAGACCGCGGAAAGGGTTAAAGTCTTGGCCCAGCTTGCTGATCGAGTAATTGAGAAAGGTCTTATTCACGCCAATGAAATCAGGGAACTTGCCTCTGTACTGGAACGAGAACATTCCATTTTCGTCTCGAGAATGGCAGCGTATCGGTGAGGAGGATCGAGAAACGTTTTTTTTCCCGATGAGGTGCAATTACGAAATACTTCGCACTCACTCACATTACGTTCCGAACGTCCCCGCTGGTATCGATTATACATGATTATATTTTTTTAAATCGAATATCCATGCTGAATTACGCTTCGGAATTCTCCGACTGTAGTGATTAATGAGCCGATGGCTTCCTATGTTGAAGTCTTTTTTTTAGTTCAGTTAACTCGGTTCCAGTTACTGCACACGAGTGGAGAAGAAAAAAAGTTACGAATGTCGGGTTGCAAAGATTGTTCGTGATTGAATGCATTTTTTTTTGTTCACAGGTCAAAGCTAGACGCTGCATTGGGAGTGAAAACGGTGATTGGCTCGTTTCCATCAATTCCAGTACACTCGCCCGCCAGAGATTTCGTTGGAAATCTTAAAGACATGGTGCCTTTGCCGCAGTCCAACTCGGATAAGCAATTATCTGAAGAACGAAGGAAATCTGCGCGAAAGAAAGAGTACGATATCAGTTAACTTTCATCTTTAATTTTTTCTTCTTTTAAATGAAATTTCTATTTTTCAAGGTTTATCATGGCGGAGCTATTGCAGACCGAGCGAACGTACGTGAAAGATTTAGAAGTTTGTGTGCGAACTTTTCTCAAGGATTTGAGAGAACCGAGCGGAAATGTTCCTTCGGGTCTGTTCGGCAAAGATTCGATCCTCTTCGGGAATGTTGAAGAAATTCTCGAGTTCCATTCGTCCGTTTTCTTGCGAGAGCTAGAGAAGTATGAGACTATGCCAGAAGATGTTGGGCATTGTTTCGTCACATGGGTGAGCTCACAGGATTTTTGCTATTATTTTCGTCGCACAGTACAGTAGAACCCTGACTTACGATTGAGTTTTTTTTTTTTTTTTTAATCCGATTGCCTTCGTAACATTTCTGAAATTTTCGATTTAAAAATGTTGCTATCGTCGACACTTACAAGTCGAGATTTAATTTTCGACCATTGCAGACGTTTGATTTCTGTATGCAATTATTAGGCTTCCAAGTTCGACATGTACGTCAAGTACTGCAAGAATAAGCCGGAATCAAATGGGGTGTTGGTGCAGTTTGCTGGGAATTTTTTTGAAGAGATCCAGGCCAAGCACGGCGTGGAACACCCAATTGCCGCTTATTTGATCAAACCGGTGCAGAGAATAACGAAGTACCAGTTGCTGCTGAAGGATCTTCTTTCTTGCTCTGAAGAAGGACGCGGGGAATTGAAGGTTTGCTGCTTGAATTGATGGAAATTACTGTAACAGTTTTTTAAGCCTTTTTTCAACAATTTTCTTCGCTTGAAATTTCGAGGAAATCAATTTTGATAACCGCTGGTTGTTTTCTCTTCGTTCCTGTAACATTAAGGTATACTGTTGGATTACGTTTATTTCAGATTTTGATTCTAGTTCATTCGCACGGTTCTGGTATTTTTTTCTGGAAATATTTAGTTTGACTGAATGGTTAATTGACCCTGTAGGTTCACGTGGAATTATTTTTTTTTTCAGGATGGACTGGACGTCATGCTGAATGTGCCAAAGAAAGCCAACGATGCCATGCACTTGTCGATGCTAGAGGGTTGCGATATGTCCCTGGATACGTTGGGAGAAGTAATTCTACAGGACAGCTTTCAGGTTAATTTTTGCTCTTCTTCAATATTCTACAGTATGACGAAGATTGGTTTCCGCACGATGTCAGGGAGAAAGTTTGACGAATCTGTCCTAGTTTTTGTATCGATCATTCGATTCTATAAAAATATATTCCATCATCTTGGAACACGAATGCGGGAAATGTGTATTTCGTAGATATTCAATACCACCCAGATGCTCAAGAGGACATTTCAATGAATCACGTTTTCGAAATTCCGTATCGACTGAAAGAAGAAATAAAATGACCGTCAATTTCCTCGAATACGAAGGGAGGAACAAAAAAATCTTTCTGGCTGATCTGATTATTTTAAGATTGATTACTGAAACTTACTCTTGTTGCGCAGAGTAATTTATTTCTTGCAAAATTTAGGCGATCCTTGTCTATTTACAATTTTGTTTTTTAGCAGCTCTTTTTTTCGTTTCTCGAAAAAGGTTTATTCGAAGCAACTCATTCGGAAAGGACGGGAACGGCACCTTTTCCTGTTTGATCTGCATCTCATCATCAGTAAAGAAGGCAGAGATTCTTACGGCAAATCAAAATACACTTTCAAGCAGAGACTTATGGTGAGTGAGCTTATTACAAACCTTGGTTGAATAATTTGTTGAAAATTTTATCTGGTGAACAGACTTCCGACCTTGGCCTCAATGAATCTGTGGACGGCGACGAGTGCAAATTTGCGATCGTTGTGGGAAGATTAGCATCGAATGACCAAAGAATTGTGCTCAAGGTGAGAAAAATCAAGGATTATTTTTCTCTCGGAGGCAAGAGTTCTCTAAAATGATTGTTTTCTAGGCTGCCAGCGTGGAAGTGAAGCAAACTTGGCTCAAGAAGTTGAAGGAAGTTCTTCAAGAGTCTTTATTGAACAGAAGCACGCCGATGGCTTTGGGCTCATCGATAGCCACGAAGTCTGTTGGGAAGTTCATCAAATCAAAGATTTCTAAGTACGTTGAACTGTTTTTTTTTTATGATGTCAAGACACACTGGTTTTATTTTCAAACGTTTTCCAGGGACTCGAAAGATGTGTCGCTGGAAGGAATTGGCGGAGACGGAGCAGACGCGGGATCTATATCATCTTATGGCTCCAACGGAGAAACGCAACAGGTTCGGATTCTGCAAATTGAAGCATAATTCTTTTTTTTTCTCTGGGAATTCAACGTACTAGATATCATGATTTTTTTTAAACTTCTTATGACTCGTCCATATGTAACAATATCACATTTTGGTTGTTCACCGAGTATAGTTTTTGGTCACATCATAGCTGTAGAATTGTAGATGACACCTGTCCAACGTTTCAAAGAGCACGTTTGGGTGTTGAAGTGGAAAGAACCTGAAGTTTAAATTATCAGAGAGTATCTTGGTTGCAAGGATTTCTCGTGGGGCGATTGGAAATGTTCCTGTCGTAAAAAACTAATAATTTTCCATTTGGTTTTTCTGCATGAAATTCAGGAATATCATAGCAGAACGAGCCTGGGAACTCTGCAAGCTTCAGTTTCATCGCAACATGATGCAACAGAAGATATTCCGGAAGATATGCCTCCACCAATGGAAGTTTTTGAACGTCCAGTAAGTTCTGTTGATCTTGCCAGAATCTTGGAGTGGAATGCTTTCTACGTTTCTTTTAATGATCCTAGAAATTTTCTCTGATGATTAATCGACGTTGAAATCGATTTTAATACTTGACGGGTTCTCTGTCTACAATTGTATGTGATATCCATTGCCGTGCATTTTTCAGTCCGTTCAAAATTCGGAGAACGAAACGGCAACCGCGACTGCTTCAGAAATCGAGCAAATCGTTCAGAAAGGCTTGGTGAGGCATCAGCTGTTATTTTTATTTCAACAACTACTGTATTTGAAATGATAAAAAAAAAAATTTGATGGCAGATAAACCTGGCGGTTAGTGAGGGAAGTGACGCAAATTCAGACCAAGGTGGTGCGATTGAGTGTGCAATGTGTATCCAAGATCTCATGGATTCCGAACGAAGTTACATCAAAGATCTGGCAGAATTATCCGACGCATTAACCAAATTCATCCAGGAGCCGCAGTCGACGCATGAAACGGTGTGTCAGTCTGCGAAATCGCTGCTACAGATCATCACCGGATCTTACAAATGGCATTCCGAGTGAGCATTTCTCGCGATTGATGTCGAAATTTTGCATTTTTGAGACGACTTAATTTTAATTTTATTTTTTGTATCATTGCAGCGTGTTTCTTCCGCAATTGGAGTCATGTCAAGGCTCTCCGGGCAAAGTTGCTGGTGTTTTCTTTGAAGCCGAGCCAGATCTGCGCCGCTATGTTGACTTCAGTGCGGAAAAATGCAGATTTGAGCGGTTGTATTCCGAAAACACGCGAATCATCGAAGTGAGTCCTATTTTTGCGCATCTTGTTCAGCTATAAACGTGAAGAGTTGATCAGCTTTATGATTGCGCAACACCTTTTTGTCCCATGAATCCCTTTGCGTTGAAAATTGAGCTTTTTTTTTAGTTCTTATTTTGCCCCTTGTGGAAAAATTCAATCATAAATGCCTTGACATTCGCACTGGAAATATTGAGGTAGTATTTTTGAAAGCAGTGATTTTCAGAAGAGAAAATAGCACCGAGAAATTTTTATGAATGTATTTCAAGACTCACCGGGAACCTACCATTGCACGGATACTTCATCGGACTCGAAAGCCTTGGGATAATTTCAAGTGGTCAATGATTTTAATGCAGTTATTTTGATCGAGAACTAAAATGAGATTTTGGAATCCATGGTGTACGCAAAATTTTTTGTGCCACGCTTTATTGATTCAGGTTGAGAGTTCTCCGTTTGATGCCGCGTACATAGTGTTCTCTAAAATTCCGAATAGAGAGGTGATTAAGTTGCCGGTTTCCCGCTGGAAAATTTTCAATATTCTCCTGTATAGGAATATGTATGTTGGAAAAAGGAATGATTGAATGTCCTTTCGTTTTTCATTTTTCATCAGATGATGAACGATCCTGAAGAAAACCCGTTTGGCGGAATGACGATGAAGCCAATCGAGCGTTTGACTGCCTACCAAATTTTCTTGGTAGACTTGCGAAAGGCTTCGCAAAAAATCGACTCAAACGCAGACTCAACTGCCATAATCAAAGCTAGTAATGCAATTCGGGCTTTGCTGAAAGAAGTCACTGACCAACTACTTGTCGGGAGAATGAAGGGCTTCGAGGTTTGATGCGTTTTGTGTTGAAGTAATACCGATTTTTTTCAAGTTTTTTTTGCTTTGTTTTAGGGTTCATTGGGATCGGAAGGCCGTTTATTGCATCAGGGTTCCCTTGTGTGTCAAGAGGGAACGTCTAGTGCTTACGCTTGGAAACTGTTCGACGTGTTTCTTTTCGAGAAATCAATCATATTCACGGAATCACAAGGGACTCAAACGAATGGAGAGAGCGTACCTTTTATTTTCAAGTATCAGCTCAAGGTGACTACCAATCCAGCATACCGTTTTTTTTTTTTTTTAATCCGAGTTGACAATATTTATTGATTTCAAAATCGTCACTTCCGCGAATCTTTTTCTGCTACGTTTTTTACCCATTGTAAGAATTCTTGCGTATCAGCGTTAACCCTTCTGGAATCGTATACTAATGAATGTCTAGTTAATATCAGTACCAACCTAATTAATTGCAGCGGACCAGCACCGATCCGTAGAATATGGGTTACAGAACACTTACCTGAGCCGAAAAATCGTAGAACTTCTCTTATATCTAGAAAAACTAAATGATTCTTATTTACCATACGAGGGTTCTAACAAAAGTTCTCGGAGTAGCAATGAAAATGGCTTACAGTTGACCTGAAACAAATTTTTTCTTTAGGGTAAACATATTCTTTGGCACATAAAAAAATATCAGCCCTGTTTGACAAATTTTTTTGAATTTTTTCATAATTCACCCTGGTAGAGTTTTACTCTCCACTCAGAAGACGAGGCGCCCTTTTTATGTTGTAGCCCAGCTTTCCCCTCAGAATTTTTGAAATCAGCTTGGCATTCTTTCTAAGGGTTGCCTCCACGTCATCCAAGGCAATTCCGCCATTTTCATTGACAGCCGCCAATGTGGCGGCTGTCAATGTGAAGGCGGATTTTGATGAAAATTTGATGAACCCTCGTATTTACTCGAATACCACGCGCTCCTTTTTTTCTTGAATTTTTCAGATAAAAGGAGTGTGCGTCATGGAGTATTTACATTTTACAAAAAATTCCAGAGGTGTCCATTATAATTGGTTCTAATGGGAAATTTTGGACCAAGAAAACTTATTTTATTGGAGATAATTGAAAATTAGTTGAAGTAAGTTAAATCGTGTTCAAGTTCAAATTTGAGTTTTATTACTTATGAAATATTGTGATTTCCCAGTCACTAAAATGGGGTACGCATCTTACGTAGGGATACGATTTTATCGAAATTTTCAACTGAAAATCCCTCGTTCGCATCTTACTGAGGGTTGCGTTTTAATGGAGTAATTAGTCTAATGTAGGCATCATAAATATGAACCAGAAACCGACGAGACAATATTTTACGAAATAATCTGTTTTGCGAGGATTATTTTTGCTCTAACCTGAGGTCGTTCACTCGTATCAAAATGTTTTCCTTCACTAAAATGCAACTATGAACATGAGTTCATTTTATAATGCAGTGTTAAGATCGAGAAAACTATGCACGTAAGGAATTTTGCCCTCGGCAATATTTTCTCAATAAGGTATTTTCTTCTGGATGTGTTGTGGAAAATTCACGTTGTTCCTCAGCTGGTCCATGGTTTTGAAAAAATCGAATAGCATCAGTTTAAAATTAATTAGTTTCAATGCATTATTTATTGATTTTTTTGGATGTGTTCAATGGTATGCGTAACAGTGTTGAATGAATTTGCAGGTGAATAACATGGCATTAGTGGATAAATGGAGCGATGATCCGGTCAAGTTTCTTGTGAAATCCAAGGAATCTAAAAGCAATTCGCTGCTGGTGTGTCAAGCGAGTTCGATTGGCAATAGAGAAGAATGGGTGTCAAAAATAAGGAAAATGTTGGACATGCAAGTCAACATGCTCAATGACTGAAGGGCTCCCGGTCAGAAATCCGCCTTTTTTTTTTTTTTCTTGCATCATGTCGCTTTGTGCATTGATGTCGTGAGTGTCTTACGGTTTTCCAGGAACGGCCAACGTCGTAAAAATCGGCTCATCACGACTATTTTTATGTATTCGCCGCTGAGATATGTTTTCCATCATTTATTGAATCTTCGGAGGGATGAGGGATCTCGACATGCTGATTTTTGCGCTACCCAACCCTTTTTTTATTGTTCTTTGGATGCATTTTTGATCTCAAGATTGCCTGTCCTATGCATAAGTGAGATTTATCCACTAATGGACACTTTAAAAGTCGGCAGAGGTTAGGTATATGTCTCGATTGTTTTGTTTTGTTGAACTAGTCTGATTGGTAATCATGTGATTCGCGAGCGTGTTTGTGGATTGCAGATGCTGAGTTTTGCAATAAACTCAGATCGGAACTTTGATGAACCGAGATTTTTAGTTATTCGAACCTTCCATATGCGTGAATCGCGTAAAATAAAAGTGGTCCGAATTTGTAGAGCAGTGCAAGTTCATTGTGAAGTCAACGGCTAAGTGACTGAAGTACATGTACAGTACAGAATTTGCGCTGCTTTATGCGACTTCGCGATGGTGCCCTACGTATTTGAACAACAAATGCGCATTCAATGAATGAAGGGTGAGAAGTAAGATGTACTAAAGTATCTCAACTACCTACGTACTTCACTATATTTACTCAAGCACGATAAGTGAAGCACTATAAGTAAGCCTTTAAGTAAAGGCGCATACCAAAAATTTTCAGCGTAACATTTGCCCCCAAATTTGCACCCTATTTTTAGAGACTGGAAATTGAAGTATTTTCTGAAAATGAAATAGATCAAATTTAAAATTTCGACTTCAGTTGTAATCAAATTACGTTTTAATTTTCCATGTTCACAATTTTATTTTGAAATTGGCTAAGAATTGTTTTTGAAGTATGATGTCCACCAAAGCTTCAAAATTAAGAGAACAGTAATTTATGTAGAGTAATTTATTTGAACTATGATGTGCACCCTTTTTCTCCTCTTGATTTTGATGAAGGTGCGCATGGTACTGGAGTAAATCAATTGGTGAAAGGATATTGAATTATATTTGTAGTCAGCATGCAGAACCCGACATGGTACCCGCATTCAACACGAAATTTCGCGGACATGCGGAATGTCCAATGAGCCGCGCGAAGTCCATTATTCCAGATACGCATGAAGTTCCTGAAGTACTCACGCATTGCATGGAACAGCACAACTTCATGTCTCATTACACAACGAGTATTATCGAGCAAGTGACTCATCGCAAATGAGTAACCAAATGTGGAATTTGGATGCCTTTCTGGTTGGAGAGAGATGAAGCTATAGGTTTCGCTAGATTTCTGGTTGTCCGTCCGGGGGTTCTGATACTCCGATGCGGTGCAGTGCAAATCTTATGTCCGGCTTCTACTGAAAGTACTGCACAGTACTGTATACGCATTCTATCTGTTCCACCCGAGTACTTTATGATTCAGGCACGGAGGAAGGACGGGTATACAGTATGTACAATATTGTACTGTATTAAAGGTTGGAACTGTTTTTATTTTCTCCTGTAGATGTCATTACAGGTTGACGTCTGTTGACGGGACAGCACACAGGTGACACGACTGTCAAACGCCATGTCGGCGCCCCATGAATCTCATCATGAGATTGAAGAAATATTGTACAGTAAGATTGTCGGATAGGTCGATCGAGGAATTAAAGATTGAGTCGATCGGTGAACCTTGGTTTGGATAATATATTCTCTCGGACGGGTACAAGGTGGTAGGACTTTTCTTTCGTACACAACACAGACACAGAATAACGGAAGATGTGGTTTGTTGCAGTGATCATAACAGAGTGAGTCTGCTTGGTGCTTTCTGTCCCCTGTGGTGTGTTTTGGCCTTGTGTGAGTCAGTGCTGTTTCCCATTAATTGGTTCCGTTAGGTTCCTTGGCTTTGTACTGCTCCTTGTCCTTGTGTCGCCCTTCTGATTGTGGGGAGAGATAGTGGGAATGACTTTCGCGGATCTAACGGTGTTTTCGATGTTTAATCAATGGTTAGGATCTCTCACTGTACTGTTGTTAATTTAGTTTGAGAAATCGTATGGATGAACTAAAGGTTGACGCAGGATGAATTTGGTCGCGGCTGCGAAGGACTTCGCCTGCCCTGAAGGACGTGTGTTTGAGTATGTGTGCACTCCTGCATTTTACGGTTAGGAAAAAATACAGGCTATCCAATGATAGTTATCGATCTGGTAGGGTTAAAACTTGAAAGATTTATCCTTCAAAATCGCCACAGACCTTGACTTGTTGCGCAGTTTTTTTTTTTCTACGCGATAGTGTGTATGGTTGTATCCGCATGCTCGATCTTTGAGCTAGACCGGGATCATGGAAAAACTACACGGAAAAGATGCATTCCCCGTGGAAATGAGTACGAGGTTTCATCGCCTTGCCAGTGTTCATAAGGAAGGTCATGTCATTTTCCATCTTTGATTTAGAGCGCTTGGCATTCTCCCGAATCTTAACTGCTCTTCGGTTGCGAAGCCTGTTCAACGATGAAGTCAGATGTGGACTTGCGGAACTGTAGGAAGAATTTGACATTAGTGGAGATTTACCGTACATGTACGGGAACTTCGTCTTGTCAGCCATGATGAATGCATTCGGCTTCTGGCAGAGTGTTTTCGAAAAAGTCGATGACTTACATCCGCTGAAACGATTGCCATCTACAGCATTAAAGGTGCTCGGTTGCCGTGGCTTCATGAAGGCCATGTCGTGGTTCACCTGCTAATGAAACAAAAAGAAAGGGTAAACTGTGCTCGAAGAAGACATACGATGCCATCAATCTGAGGAAATTGAAGTACTTCAGTCAGGTCGATGCGAAGAATGGCCTCACGTCCAGAATTTCAAGAAGTGACGTCAAACCGAAGAAGAGGAAAGCAAATTTAGGTTCTTATCCTATCCAAAGTTTTCGTTTTCTTCTGCTTCATGTATCATGTATTTTTCTGCAGCGGCATTAACGCTGGAGCTCCAAGAATCGCTGAAATCCATTAAAAACAAGGGACATCAAATAACGAATCATTTGTTCAGAAGCTCCGCGCTTGAAAGTTCGGAAGATGACCTGATCAACTCCGCATTTCTTGATTCTACAACATTCGATCATTCGTTTGAGAAAATGTCCAAAGATTTTCGCCTTCTCAGTGCCCAACGCAACGCATGGAGATTTCGGAATGTAGATCAAATTAAGAACGCCTACGAGCACGAACTGCATCATTATTTGGTCCGCATTGGGGTAACTTCCCTGCTCTAAATGAGTGCGGCGTGATGACTCAAGCCAATCATGTAAAGCTCCTTGAGGATTTTGAAAATGTTCCTAAGGATTATATGAAATGCCCCTTCGCGAATTGAACATTGCGACGAACCAGAACTGAGGATCACCATGACAAAAGTGTCGTTCCGAAAATAAGCTCCCAACGAGTATCTCTTGTTCGAGAGATTGTGAACGGCTATTTTTTAATGTGTTGTCCCCTCGATTTTTACGTTTGTATGTTGAAATGACATTTGGTTAATCTTGTGACCAGGAATTAGTTCGCTTTTTAAAGATTTTTCAATGGTTCATGTAGAGTGATTGATTTGATTGATTTCCTTTTTTCAGATGTGAGACAAGTTTGCGTTAGAATTCCTTACAGTGTAATTTTGTGATGCGGAAGGGTGGTGGAGGTTTCCGCGCAACAGTATGGGATCCACGGTTAATCGTGGCCCAAATTGCGGCTGTTCAAGGATTTTTTTATTCCAGTCTGTTCCTTCTCTTGTTTCTCTTGACCGTTGTTGTGCAGAAGATCAATACACTCTCCCAGATTTATGATTACCGGGAGACAAATCTCAAGACTTCTGGTGGATTCATCGTCTTCCTTGCGTTCCTTATCAATGCCCCAGTGGTGTGAGTATTGTTATGAAAATACCGAAGAGATGCATGTGATGATAACCAAGGAATTTTCTGCTTTTGCAGGTCCGTGGTATTGTGGTACGTCGTGAAGCGAACAAAGCAATGCCTGGATTTTGCCGTGACCGTTCATTTGTTCCATTTTTTGGCGTGTTGGGTTTATAATGGAGCTTTATCCAATTCTTTGACGTGGTGGCTGCTCCAAATAATTTGTGTTGCGATTACTTGCGTGTGCGGCGAATTTTTGTGCATGCGAACGGAGCTGGCCGCCATACCAGTTAACACCTCTCCTGTTGCAGATTTGTGAATGAACGTAAAATTGCAAATGCTCGCCTTGGATTTGATTTTTTAGGATGTTTTTGAGATTGAGCTCTTCCCCACTTCTTCGAGCGAAAGTCGATGAACGGCTTACAAAATGATTCGACAGAAGTCTTTCGAGAGCCTCAAAAGAGTTTTAATTTCTGAAACTCCTTTTGTCAAGAGAATTATGGTCACTGTTCTTCGTTCCTTCTTTATGGATACCAGCAGTAAAAAGAGACCCGTGTTTATTTAACAGGAATGAGAAATACTGTGTGATATTATCGGGGCCGAATCGTGGTAACATGACCACTATACTGTAATATCAAGTTATCAACCACATACTGGAGGATGTGTAACAAGGAGTGTGTGAGAAATTTTTTACTCGATCTCTTAATCTACGTACCGTACTCGATTGTCCTCTCATAACTGTCTAGCTTACCTAAGTTTCAATACAACCCTGGGAAGAGTTCTGTCCGTTACATTTTTTAAAATTATGGTCGATGTGAGGAATATTTTGCATAATTTCAGATTTAATGTGAACATGGCGCCGCTGTCATTCGAGAAAGTTGTCAGTGTATCCAGCGAAAACCCGGTGAGGAATTTTTTCTTCTTTATGAGTATTTTCGATGACTATGAATGATAATTCTAATTTTGATCTTCTAATATTGGCATCTTTGGGGATAGATTTCTTATTTAATCTGCAAAACGCCAGTGTTTTGGTTAGTTCTGAAAATTATTATTTTTGATTGGGTTGTAACTGCCGAATAATTTTGATTGATTGAAAATGAATTGGCATTTCTTCTGGAGGTAGAGCAAGGTGTACAAAATGAACAAATCTTGCCATCTTCTGAACAACCGGATAATTTTGCTCATGGGAGGAAAAGAAACATATTATGATATTGAAGTTCTTTGGGCTGGAATTCACAGTTCTTCAAAATGACGTAGTTGAATGCTAAAAGACAATGACCATGTCTGATTCCTTGCTCTTTTCTTGTTGTTGACCCTTCTTTTTTATGCTAGTTTCAGAATTGAATGGCTTCCCGATTTTATTTTATGTGTACAGTACAGTAGCGTGTAGTGTGAAACACACTGCGAAGATTGAAAGATGTAGTCATTTCAGCCCTGGTGGTTCCTTTTATAGAATTATCCTGCTACAAATCTCCTGAAAAACGGATCGATTCGAAAATGGATATGCGGGCCTAACGCGGATGGCAGAGCAGAAGTGATTCTTCAGCTTTCTGAAGCATCGAAAATAACTCGAGTGGACATTGGAAACGCGGGTTCGGCGTTCGTTGAAGTTCAAGTCGGCAACGCTGACACAGCTGAAGACAGTTACGACGTTTTAATTTCGGCAAGTTCTTTCATGACTCCAAAGGATTCCAGAAACAACGAAAATATTTCTTTGGTGAAGCTTTATACGAAAGAAAAGCTGCAGTCAGTGAGTGAGAGGAAGTGGAGTCGAGTGAAAATAATTTGCACGCAGCCCTTCGCGAAAAAATCAGAGTTCGGGATAAGCTTCATCTCACTCTCCGGAGATTCTAGTGTTCCAGAGCAGAAACAACAACAGCAAAAGAAAAATATTGACTTGTCTGGTCCGTTGCTCCTTGGTTCTTTCCTGTTGAAACCTGAAGAAGGCAGTGAATCGAAGCCGAAAGCGGCGTTTAAACCTCTCGTGAGTGAAACCGGAGCTGGTGTTGTTAAAAATGCTTTGAAGCCCGGCGGAGTTGGATTATCCCCGTTGCATCCCGCTGCAACATCTTCAAGAAAGCGTTCTCCTGTCTCCTCACCATCAATGGTTGCTTCACCGAAAAAGCTTCCAAGACGGGATGTTCTACCCGGAGAGAGTCCTAAGATCAAACAAAAAGTCAAAGAGGAAAGAACTGTTCCGAAAGAAGCAAAGACATCTTCGAAAGAAGCGAAAAATAGTAAGCCTGAGGTGAAAACTGAAGTGACGCATCAAGTGGATTTCCATGACCTTATGTTGGACGTTGTGTTTGTGTTGAGTGGTTTTGAGAATCCCCTTCGGTCTGAAATCCGAGAGAAAGCGCTCGAAATGGGTGGACATTATTCAAAAGACTGGAATGACAATTGCACTCATCTCATGTGAGTAATCTCTTCCAGGAGTGCTTTTCATTGCGTTTAATTGTTTAATTTGTTCATCAGTCCTCCTCATGGCCATGAAAAAGTTTCTTAGTACGAATTTCTGATAAAACTTTGTTGAAATATTGCGTTTTGATACCTCTTGAAATATTATGATGTTAGCTTTTCTTCACTACAGTCGAGGAATTTTCGTTGATATTCAAAATATATGTTTTGAATTTCGACGCCAAGTGACGAGAGTCTGATTTGTATAATTTGTGTGAACACTGCTGGTGATATGCAGGTAATTGACGAGTCATGCGTAAAAGTTTTTGCATCAATATATAGATGTAAATTGTCTGTAATATGATGTATGTACGTAACTCACTGAACTAATAAACCCATGGTATTGAAATTACTCGTAATACTTGTCACAGTGTGATTGTATGCAAATATTGCTAGGTTTTGAAAGTGGCTCAGTCCGCGAGAAGTTAGTGAAGCTCTATTCTTAATATCAGATAGTTTCAGTGTGCTGTGTCGTCAGGAAGAACTTGAAAATTTTTTTTGAGAATGGCTCATGATGAGAACTATCAGATTTCTCTTCAGTCTGACAGGAATTTCCTGTTAACCGGATGTTCAAATGTTATCAATCTTTTATTGAATTTATTTGCTTTGATCTTCTTTATTTACAGATGTGCTTTTCAGAATACGCCAAAATACAGGGAAGTGAAAGGCAAAGGTTACATTCTTAGGAAAGAGTGGATAGAACATAGCTTCGCCAAAAAGCTTTTGATGCCGTGGGAGTTGTGAGTTAATCTCGCTTTTCATCGGTTATTCAAGTGTTACAATTTTTTTCATTCACCACATTTCTGAATTATCCTTTGTGTTCAGGTATTCATTTCCGGATAAGCCGCGGAATGCAACACCTACTATCCGTGCCGTGAAAACACCATCTCAGACGACGAACAATCCTGTCCCTCCTACGACACAAAATCCAACACCAACTGGCCGTGTCGCGAAAACACCATCTCAGACAACGAAGAATCCTGTTCCTTCTACGACACGAAGTCGTTCGCCAATTCAAACTCCCATTACTCCTTCACGACCTTCAGATCAGGAAGAGCAAGAACATCCTTATGAATGTGAGACGGATGAAGACGCTGATACGCCTGAACGTCAAGAGAATGACGCATATGATGTTGAAACGGATACGGAAGACAAAGAGAACGAATTGAAGATTCCAGACGCATTGCCAGTACTTCCGGAAATATTTAACGGAAAGAATATCATGCTGTTCGGAAAGTTTGACCTAGATGAGGAAAAAGCTTATAATCGGTACGTCATCTCTCACGGTGGGTCTGTGGGAAAGGAGGTCAAATCTGGTGTCCAACTCATAATTACGCGGCAAAAGTGGAATGACAGTTTTGAAAATGTGAGTCTTTCTTCTTGAATTATTTTCCTATCGAAAATTGGACGCAATTTCAAGATTTTCAATGAACCAAATAAATTCTTCCATAATTTTTTTTTGCAGATTCTAGAAGAAAATCCGGAAGCTGTCTTCATCCTCCCGGAATGGGTGACAAAGTGTGTTGAAGAAGGGAAATTTTTGCCATACCACAAGTTCATGGTTTCTCATGAATAGTTCATGCTTTTTTACACAATTTTTGAGATAATTGAGACGGCTTCGATTACTTGCTACTATCAATTAATTGATTTAATCTTCCATGGTTTTCTTCTCTTCCAGGACTTACTTCGATAGTTATCTACGCGTAATTTTCAAAAGCGGTTATACCGAGAATGGTATATTTTGAAAAAACGTGTGATTTGCGATGGCGATTAGTGTGAGAGAACTCGAGAATGCTGGAAGTTGTTGGCGCGTTGTTGGTCTTTGTCGGCGCCGGTGGGTTGAGCATTTGGGCTTTAAAGCATATTTTGGCCCTTGAACGAACCCTGAGCTTCCAAGAATTCAAGAGCTTGTGTCAAAGTGTATCTTCTGTCGTTGATTTCCGCGTCCCTGAGAAAATAACGAAACCTGTGCAGAATGGTGAGTTTTTACGTGTATAAAATGGAATTCATTGACAGCCAGTGACATCTACACGGAATGCAACGTCCAGTAATCTGTCATCGCAATTGATAAATTGTGCAGAAATTTATCGAATGAAAAAGTTTCGCAATACATTGCTTTTTTGGACATCAGTTTTTAAATGGGGGAACGTTGATCATACGGCTTATTTATTCGAACTAAATTTCCCTTCTGGTGCAGTTTTTGTAAATGGGTTCACAAAAAAGGGCATGAAGTGGTGGTCGAAAGGAAAACATTGAGAGAAGACCCTGGAGATCTTTTGTTCGAGTGTCAATTATGATGAGCTTGACTTCTTTAATATCCTGTTAATAAATCTCCCATCCTGCCAAGTTTGATTTGCGGTGATATTAGAGCAGTTCTCACAGTTATTATACGTACATTCGCAGGTGGAAATTCTCTCGACAAAGAGATTACTCTGTGGGTGGACGCCATTGTCTCCAACTACGTTTCATCCTGGACTTCTACGTATTGCGGACCCAATTCTGCCATCGAAAATGAACTCAGCGACTCATTATCTCTCATCCTGCGTCGTTTGGCTGGCCGAGCGAAGAATATCGAAACCCGTGAATTTTTCATTCACTCCGTTAACCTTCTCCACGACCATCTCCTACAATATTCTCGGAATAGGAAAAAGTGTCCGAGATTGCGGCACAAGACGGCGGGAAATGCGAAGCTTCATTTGCAATCGATCACGGAATCGCTACTAGTTGATCTCATCGGGGTAGAGATTAAGAATTGCCAATTCGGCGTAAAGCTGCTTACAGGGGTTGTGTCGACGAATGTATTTTTGCCTGCGTTCGCACTACTTACTCAACCGTATTTTCTGAACAAGCTCATAATTTACTGCGGAGTGCAATTTTGGGGTGTGGAGCTTGACCTGGAACGGGAACTGAAGATTGATTGTCTTGGAATAATGGATCTGAGTTTGGATGAAATGCGTGAAGAGAATGCGAGGAAAAACAATATGGGTACCAATGGCTTAGAAAGCAATAAGAATCAAATTAATAATGTCCCAAATACCAAGAGGACTGTTACTACTGCGCTTGGCAAGGCGCTCCAGGTTGGTGTCCCCTTTTGTTCGAACAGGGTGTAACAAAGAAATTAGAATGTACTTCAAGTTGTGCTGTATGCCTTTGAACTACAGTGAGTCTTATTATAAGGAAAGACCCGCGCACAAAGCAGCGCAAAATTCTCTGAACGAGGCATTCAACTGGGGGAAAAGTGACTCGCATGACAAAATTGTTTCGCATGGTAATAATTTCATGGCCCAGACGTGCTCAAATTAAAAAAAAAATCGTTTAGAACTTCGGAGTTAGTTTCTAGATTTCTTCAATTTCTTCAAGATTTCTTCAAGACGCCTTTTTCAGTTTGTTATCTTGTATTGTCCAGAAAACAGAGCTTGAAACTGATCTATTTTTTTGTGGTCCACCCTGTGCATATTTTTTCCTTGTTTTCAAAAATTATAATTTCTCATGATGTTTCTCACAGGCATCTGCGGGTCCGTTGTTGCCGGAAAACATGCAATTTTCAGCATTTCCTTTGATCAAAATGTGGCCAAGTCCTACGAAGAAGCCCGCATGTGGCAAAGTCAGAAGACCTTTGAAAAAAAGCTACTCTTTTGACTGTAGTCTGGACTTGAATTCTCACGTGAACCTTAGCGAAAGCGCCTCAATTGCGAACATAGCTATGTGTGAACGAGTGAGAGAGTCGGTTGACGACGATTCCTTTTCCTTGCAAACATCTTCAATTTCTTCCTCTCCTACTTCTGCCAAAGGTTAATTCAAATCTCTCGACAATTTTATGTGGAACTGAAAAAAAACAATGATGGTTGATCATGTGCTTCAGAATCTCTCGCCGATATTTCAACCAAAGATATGTCACCGGACCCGGAGTACGAGGATTTTCCCGACATGGAGACAGCTATAACAAAGTTGAGAGCTATGTTGGCGCAAAAGACGAGTGGTGATCAGAGCAGCAGTATTGATTCTCAAGATTCTGCGAAACCATTTCCTGACAAGCAGCAAAGCTTGTTGGTTGAACCTGTGTTGTTGGATAACATCAGTATCATTGATACTGAGACCAAGAAGGACTTCAGCAATAATTCTTACACTTTATATTGCATCCGGTGAGATTTGTTCCTTAAACGGTGCCTCCTGTCGATTGACTCAATTTCTTTCAAAATTTTCTCGAATAGTCAATATATTAATCTGAAGGGTTGATAAAATTCGATTCTTGTAAGTACACCTGAAATTGTCAGTTCTGGGGAAACATTTTTGATTTTGTTTACGCGAACGTGAGAATGAATTGAAGTTGGTTTCCATAATTAGGTGCATATTATTGGGAAAATGTTCGCATAATTTGATCGCGTTTTTTCCGAGTTCTCTTTCTCAAATGCCTGCATTTATTGTGTTGTTATCTGCATTTCCGCAATCGAAATTGACGTTGCAATCACCTGTAGGTACGATGTGTATCATTGGCCAATCAAGGTCCTCGAAAGTGGGGAAAAAATCGGGGATCCCGAAGGAATGGAACTTCGAAGAGCTGTTGTGAAGAGACGATTCCGAGAGTTTCTCAATTTCCAGTTGCGACTGGAGTCGAATCCGAGATTGAAGCACGCGTTGCGCGGCTTGAAAGGCCCCTCGAAATGGGTTAATTCTCCTTTTGGCAAAAACGAGGAGAGTACGGTGACTGCTAGACGCCAGTTGTTGGAGAATTTCCTGCAAGAGCTGTGTACCAAACCCGGGGTGTGCAATTCCTCTGAAGTACTCGAATTTCTGGGCTATGGTTGCGAGATTGCAGTGGAGTACGTCAAGAGACCGAGTGTGGTTCCCGCAAATCGTCTCGATAAGGTGCGTTATGAATTTCCGAATTCACTCAAATGTGTAAGGCATTCTTTTTTTGCGACATTGGCTCGAAAAGCTTACCTGGTCTTACATTTAGTAGTGTCTTAATTTTGATGTACCCATAGATTCGCAGGTTTTAATGATGACTTTTCCTGCTTTACATGGTGGGATTTGGTGTATGAATTCAATTAGCAGTCGTTGAGTTTCAATTTGTACAATAAACCATTCTAAAATGAAATTCCTCCTGGATGGCTTTCCTATTTTTTGATTATTACTGCAGTTTCATACAAAGATTTCTTTAAATCTGGAGAAATGACCGTTATAAGGAGAGGACCACCTTTTTTGTTTTTTCTTTTTTTTGCGGCAGTCACCAATTTTTGATCAACAATTTTGCTGCGCTTTTGAATGCGTTCGAGCCCAGATCAGTCGCTTGATTTCTTCATTGCTCATGACTTTGTATACAGTACTCTGTTTCAGCATACTTTTTTAATCATTTAAAACTTTTCAATTACTTTTGAAAACTTACGGGAAGGAAATTTTTTTTACGTTCCAGGTTTTAGCGCGGACAGTGTCAGGAATGTTCCAAAGCATACGAACTGCATTGCCAAATTTTGATAGCCAAGATTCTCCCATCGGTTCTTCGTCGTCTGGCTCAACCTTCATGTTGGGGCAGGAGAACAAATTTCTCGAAAGCATTCCGTCGCCCATCTCTAACGGTGCACCTTATTCTTACTCCGAATTCATGGAATGTGCTGAATCATCTGGAGATGCAAAAATGACTGCGCCGCTTTTTGCGGCGAACAACGGAGTGGATCAGCAAGGATTCGTTTCAAGCTACAATTTTGATTGCATGGCTCGCGAGGTAATTTCTTTTACTATTGTACTGAATTCTGAAGTCAACGTGTGGTTTTACGCTCAACCATGATTTTTGTTATGGCAGGTGTGTGTCGCCTGAATCTGTAACCTCACTGAAAAGCTTCTCGGAACCTGAACGAACCTAATCCTTAATTCTGGTCGACTAACTTTAACTTGCCTTACACGCCGAATTAACCTGATACTGGATTACCAAGCTAACATGTATAATAAACCAAAACTCAGCCAACTACAGTACAGTATTACTCAGCAAAATTGAGGCGACACCTGTATGATGGGAGAGAAAATGACAATAGATGTGACACCGGAAATTTGTAAAGAGATTTTCTTTCCATTATATGCTTTTGATTAAATAGATCCTCACTTTTCTAGGGAGTTGATCGAGTGGAGAGTCACCTTGACTACTACTTGCTCAAATCAAATGGCAATGAGACGCTCAGTGACGTACTCGCGGAATTCGCACAGAAACAAGCTCAACAGTCTGAGGAATCTTCTGATGATGAAGAGGATGATGACGTAAAAGAAGAAGGTGCGTGTTTTTCATCCTCTTTTCAGCTTTGAAGAGGTCCTGATTTAGATTTAATTTAGTACCCAATCGAATCGTAACGTGAAAAGGGGTGTATGTCTAAATCCTGCCACAAATTCATGTTTTACGAATTCGCTCTGTGATTTCAAAGTGTGATTTTAAATGCCGTAATTGTGCCGAGATCTGACAAACATAGCACAAAGAAAAGACGGTGCTAATTTTGTTAAGTTTGTGTTAGGTATGTTTAATGCAAAGGTAGCTTCGAAATGTAAGGAAAATAATGAGAAAAAACTTGGAGATTTAATTGAATAAAAGCTTGAATAAATGAACGGATGCCTCTTCAAGTTTTTTTGATCTCACTGTAGTTTGGTTCAAAATAGTGGTTCTCAACATTTGCTACGTTCAGGTCCGAAAACTGTACTTTGCAAGGACTGCTCCAAAAAGAAAAAAGGCAAACAAATCTCAAGATTCTTGCGAGGAGTTCGAAAAATTGCGTGTGTTTCTCTTGTGAGAATGGAAAATATATGGAATGTTTTCATTCTTGTTGGCCAAAAACGTGATCTGAAAGGCACAATGCACCGCAAATAGAATCTCCGGCAAAAAAAATGTTCAGCAGAGTTCCAATGCGTATTTGAGAATAAAGTCTCTGTTCTAACTCTATTTTAGAAAATTTTATCCCTAAAAAACTGGGTATGCAAAGAAGTTGAATTGAAAGAAACAGTACTTGCAAAACTTTTGAACCATCCCTCCTGTGTGAAGTTTAATTCTTAGTTTGGCCCTTTTTTCAATGTTGAAAGGAAAAATGAGTCGTGAATTGAAGAATTTTTTTTTCCTTTTGTTGTGTTCGATTTTCCTCTAGATTTGCTGAAGTGGATGCATACCTGTCACGGACCCGGGAGTGCTGTGATGGAACTGATTTTCTCTTGCCTCCGCGAAGCCCGAAATTCGGGATGCGATTTCCGTGCTCGAGAGCCATTCCTGAACCTTTCGCTTCTTCTCTTGTGTCCACCCGTGGACTCTGTCCTCAACTCGGTGCTATCTTCGAAACTGAGTCCAGATTCTTGGGCTTCGATGCTTTCGCTGCTCCGATGGTCCTTGTTCGGCGTACATGCCTTGGATGAGAAGCCGGCGAGAAGTGACGCCTTGTGGAACTTGCTTTCAGCCCTGAGGCCGCCGTTTGCTGAAGAGGTGGCTAAACGAGTGTTGAGGCGGCTGTTGGGTCGGTGTTCTTTGTTTATGGGCGGCAGTCAGAGTGTCGGTGAAGTGAGTGAGTTCTGCATTGCGGCGTTGCAGAATGTGCAAGGTAACAAAGATACTGCGTTGTTGCTGGTGGATCGAGTGTTGGCGGCTATTCATTCTCAGAGGTGAGAGAGAGAGAGACAGACAGACACATGTGGTCTTGATTTAGTTTTATTTCAACAAGAAAAACCTCAGGAAGTACAGAAGTTTTTGTTAGCGCGTTGTGAAATTTTAATGGAAGTTCTCCTGCTCTGACTGAGCCAAGATGCTTGATTATCCCAGGCTTTGTTTTATGCTTGGAAAGATCCGAAAGTTAAAAAAAAAATTGTAGAAAAAGTTTATTTTAGAAAAGGTTTACAAGTAAGAATACTAAGAAATGAAGGGTTTCCGATATGAATGCTTCCCAATCATCGTTTGGATTCACAATCGAAAACAAAATTGACCATGTCGTTGTTCCAACTCTCCTTTTTCAACAACTTAAAGACAGTTCGGAAAGCTTCTCCATGAGCTTCATTTCCTTGAAATGAGTTTCTTTTTTGAGAATACATTACTGTCCTATGTATTTGATTCTGTATTATGATTATCTATTTTCGATGTTGTGAATTAAGGTCATGGTTCCAACTGATCCCAATTTGTTTGATTAATTGAGATCTCCATAATTCCCTGCTCGATCAACATTTGAGGTTTAAATGCGAGGGTGGGTAAATGGGTTTTTTCAGTTCGTGCTTCCATTGGTTGAGTTACGTTAGATGGATGACGGTAGGTATGGTTTTTTTTTCACGGAGTAAGCTTGCTTAATTTTAGTTGTACGGTTTGTTTTTTGCTCACTCATGTTGAAATGCAGAGAAGACACGAAGTTGAAAGTCTAACTCATCCCTGTGGATAATTAGGGATCCCGTTAGTGCTAGGTTGCTTTTTTCATGCTGGCAGTTATATTCAAAATTATTTTGATAGTGTACTTGGTCTGACAGCTATGTTCTGGCAAAAAGTTTGGGTTAGTGATACTTCATGTGAACCAGGAATGTTGATTGTTTAGCAAGAAGTTGCCATGGTTGAAGCTTTAATCAAAGAAAATCTATGAAATATGACCTGAAATCTTGAGGTTGATCACTCAGTGTATGGGAGGATTCTGACTAAAACTTTGATGCACAAACAATATTATTTCTAGGATCTGAAAACATTTTCTGAATCAGCATTCAAACAGTATTTCAAAATTTATTAGGTTCAGTTGTGAAAGCTAAGAAAAAATTTGTTCGATCTTTGAGAATTTTAAATAAGATAAGCTTTCTTACTGCAGAAAAAAAAAATTGGTTTAGCTTGATCAATATTGAATGCTTCAAACTTTCGGATCTTTTCAAGTTTTCCAACTTCAGCCAAAAAATTCGCAGGATGCTGCTGAAGTTCCCTGAGAACTTTACAGGAAGGAATGCGGGGATCTTTTTTTTTGCGATCAAATGAAGCAATTCTTTCTGTTCGTGAAAAACGCGTATTGACAGGAAAATATTTGCATGAAGTTGCATTCGCTGTGATTCCGTGAGACCGTTTTGTGAGATAGTGTGAGGTATTGATCTCTACGGAAGCATTGTTGTACTTTTCCCCACCCGGTATTGGGAGCCCGGGGTCAAGAAGAAAAAAAAAAGAGAAATGGAAATTTGCGTGAAGAAGGCATTCGAAATTCGAAGTATACTCGGAATATTATGTGTTGATTTTTGACTGTGCTGTAGATGAATCGATGTGATGGGATTGTAAGGAAACGCTGTTTTCATTTCCTGTGAATGAATCATCCACAAATTAAAAAAAAATTTCACGCCAGGTTTCAGGCTGATGGAAAATGGGTGATCTGTGGAATCTTTCCTGACACAAGAATTGACAGATTAGGTCAAAGTTGATGCCCTTTTCAAGTTCTAGCATTGTTAGATGGTAGAATGATTTTGGTTCTTATTGATTACACCTGTCATGGGTCCATTGGATCCCAGACAAAGGAATTGAATTTGCAGCCATGAGAATGGAAGTTTTGAATGAGAACTCAAACTCTTTTCAGAGGAGATCATTCTCATTGCCCAGTTCATCAATTGGCTGTTAATTAAATGGTTGCAATGGCAGAGTCAATTGTAAGATTGGTTGGTTAGCTCAGAATATTGAATGAGGTAATTAAAGTTAAAAGGCCCTTCAACACTAGGTTCTGACTTCTCCTTTCAAAGAGGAATGAAGGTTTTTATAGCCATGTGCTTGGACTGGGCTCAGGATTGGCCAAATTTTAGGAAAATCAAAGAAGTGATGACTACTTCTTGTCCTTGAGTGAGGCTCAGTGAGTCTTGCAAAAACAGGATTTTTGCCAGGCTCACTGGCCTCAGAAATGCAACAAGTTTTATGGTCTGGTTGCAGCCGGATGCTGGAGCTGCATTGCTTGGGTATGCAACAACACCAAAGCATTCCATTTTTGTGTTCAGGCAAGTTTTTCAGTACCATTTTTTTTAAAGCAGAAACTAGCCCAAAAAGTGTGTAAGGCAGTATTCATTTATCTCAGTTTACCTTGGGGAGACCTGTATTGAAAAAATTCATAAATTAATTCTGGCTTTTAATTCCAATAACAAGATTTGGTTTTGAATCGCTTTTTTTCCCTGGCCAATTTCCCAAAATCAAAAGGATTTGTAGAAAATCAAAATTCTACGCAACAGATTCTGGCTAATGACAATCATCATCTTTGCCCCCACTCAAAGCAGAAAACAAATCTTCACAAAATATTTCAAAGCACATTCACCGTTTTTTTAATGTTCGCGCTTCCAGACAAACAAAACAAATCCATCCGACTTGACTGAAAGTTTGTTCATTCGTTTGCATTACCTTGTTCAGCAGAACTTCTCGTGACTAGCGCCCAACAGCTCCGTTTTTTTCTTACAAATATAAATCCTTTTTTGCAGGATTAATTTCCAACACAAATTTGGACGGATTTCGCAATTCGGTCTCCAAAATCTTTCAGATGAAAAAAGCGAAGTTTCATTCCATTCTTATCACTTTTCTAAGAAGCTGAAAATGTCTTGATGCACTCACTGATTAATCTGAATATCGCTTAGAATATAAATATTTAAGAACAGTGGGAATGAATCGCTGATGGAAAATATTTTGTCGAACAAATGGCAGCAACTGGTCTATTGTTCGAAATAGATTCTGTTCCTCAAAGTGAACTTCATTTTTTTGTAAATTTCAGACAGGAAGATCAAAAATGTTAACAATAGATTTCTTTTTACTTATCGGGATTATCTAAAAAAAAATAGCAAGAACAAATACTCCTTTCATCTCCAGAGATCGAAAATTGCTATCAGCGCAACAGCAACCACTGAAGGAACAGCACAAAGTTTTCTCGAACCCGCATTAGTCGAGGAACAAGGCTGAAAATGTCCTCTCGGGAATTTGTCACAAACTTGTTCATGAACTCAAGTTTTGTTGTAAAGCTTGGCACTGCGAGAATCAGATGTAGTGGATGCCACTGTGACGGGTTCTTCAGTGGCCAATTCGATGTTTCCAATTGGATCGCCGAACTACTTAAGCTCCGGATACTGTTGAGGTGAGCCATTTCCTTGCATTCATTTTGGGCTTCTTATTAAATGTTGCTTCATGCACAGGAGAGGATTCTCGATGACAACTTGGCTTTCGACTCAAGGTCAGACTGCGACGCAAAAGTGATGGACCCGCTTACCATTGGCCCATCTGCTTCATTCGATCCGAATCAACTGGCCGTGTACATGCAGCGTGCTGCTTGGACCAGAGGAGAACTCACGTTTGATGGCAGTGCTTGTGACGTGTCAACTCCGATCACTGCGTTGGATCTTAGTTTGAGAACGACGGGGTGAAGTTTGTTCAGGTGTCGATTGATGAATTTCATTTCCCCTGATGTCTCTTTTGAATGAAGTACAGTAAGACCCCAAAATGCGGACGTAATTGGTGCATCAAGAGTGTCCCCAAGTCGAAATGTCCCTGAGTTGAGGCTTGTTTTCCCATAGACTTAGATTATACAATTTTCAATTGGTGTTTTATGGAAGGAATATTCTTCAGAATTCCCTGAAAAAAATTGTTTGTCACTTGAATTTGAATTCGTGAATACATTTTAAACTCAATAAGAACATTTGGAGCATTGAATAGTGTATCTCTGTACTGTACACTGAAATTTTGGCATCTACAAAAACAACATTCAAGGGAAAAAAAAGTAGAAGTCCCTCTATGCTTGAGGTAATTTTTTTAATTAGCTAAATGGATGGTAATTTGGTGAGATAAATGCCCAAGAACTTTTCTTACATAAATTTTAGGGTTGGAAATATGGGTTTTGTGTAATTTGGCCTAAATGTATTTGCAATTTCATCACAAAATTTCAGTATGTCAAGTCAGTGTCCTCATGTTGGGCATTATTTTTTATTTTTTTTTCTGGGAAAATAAGTGTCCCTATGTCCAATTGTCTGCAGCTTGAGGCGTTTACACGTAGGGGTATCACTGTATTTTGTATTTTTAAAAGTTTACCGTATTCATACCAATTGTTATTTTTCCATCAGCCGTTGTCCGTTGAAGATTCTGACAGAGAAATCGCTTTGAATTGTAGTACTGTACAGTACTCATCATCTTGAAGTTATGATTTCATGTTTATAAATCGAAGGGTCTTCAGAAATACCTAATCTTATGATTATTGAAGTTGAAATGCTGAAGCAAATTTCATCATTTGAATTATTCTGCTTGTGGCGGAGCTGGGTACAAAAAAAGTACAGTACTGGAGTTTCTGTCGAAAGTTGGCCAATTTTTGAAGAAGTGATTTCGACATTTCGTGAATTTATTCTAGTTGTAGAATAAATTTATGTCCTGAGGTTGTAAGGAAAATCTTGGTGTAGTCCAGACATACGGACGATTCAACTTGGGGACAATTGAAAACCCCTCCCCCCAAATCTGCCCAACATCCTTACAATGGCTAGATATGCAGACACTTTTCCAACATTTGTACAAAAAATTGAAAAATATATTTTTCTAAATTTTTATAAATCTCTGAAACATATTGAGGTATTAATATTAAAAAATATAAAAATGGATTGCAATATAGAAATACTGTACTGTAATTCATAATAAAAATCAGGCTAATTTTGTGTTTCTTTTTCAGTGTCATTTCTATCATGTGTGCACAGTTTAGCTAGATTTTTTTGCTTCTTGAGCTCTTTTGTATGCCAAATGATCTGATTCTGCGTGGTTTCTTTCTGTAGTATCTTGAATTCGATAAGAAAAATTTGCTTTCTATATTTTTTGGACGTTATTCTAAATTTTTTATGGAACAAGAGAACCAATTCAATGTGTTCCCATTGAAATCTATGGGAAAATGTGATTCGAAATATGGACGCCCTGACGTTGGGACAAGATCTAAGCACCAATTACGTCCGCATCTCAGGTCCCCAATGTACAGTAATTGCTTCACAGAATGTGTTCATGTGCCAGAAAGTGCGCATGATTGATCACATTCTTCCGTAGAGTTCAGCCATCTTTTAAATCACTTCTTGTGTTTTGGCAAAAAGTGAGAAAATAAGTGTTCCAAAACTTATTAGAAATACTTTTCTTGACCTCTAAACACAGAAACACAAGTGTGCAGAAGAAAAATCGCATGGAATCTTCTTTTTTGGCATGAAAATGAGTCCAAACTGCAAAAAATTAACAATACTGAAGGCAGTTGATGCGCATGGAAAAGCTGGTGGCACCATTTGTGATAAAATACCTCATTTACTGGAGTACCACGTGTACATTTTTCTCAAATTTCAAAAGAAAAAAGGGGTGTGTGTCATAAGCAGGTACACATTTTTCAAGAAGTTATAGGAAGTTATGTGTGCATTATACTTAATTATAATGGAGAAATTTGGAACAAATGTAACAAGAAAACTTTTTTGTACTGAAAAAGTTGAAAGTTGCTTAGATTTTTTTTCAATTTATGTCTGAAGTAAAATTTTTTGTTCTTATATTCGAAATTGTGTGGTTTTAGATTCACAAAAAAATGGGGTGGGCGTCTTACTCAGGGATAAGATTTTAGCAAAATTTCCAACTGAAAAACCCCTTTGCGCGTCTTACTTGAGGGCATGTTGTACTCAAGTAAATACGGTATTAACCCATCACTTCTCCTGAGGGAATTCTCAAAATCTGCATGTCATCCCTTGGGTTGATGGGTTTTGTCAATGCGCGTGAGCATTCCATTGTCAAGTACAGTACATGTTACCTTACTGTAAACAAAATATATGTGTCCAACAGAGTGGGAAAGGAACAATACTTGCCAAAGGTATTCTTGGTATGAAATCTTGGAACATTCGAGATTTTAAATCAAGAAAGCCGCTTGCCCGTCTCAGACTTCGAGCTCAGTTTAAAAAAAAAAAACTGGATTCGTTATTGCTTCGTTTTCATTGGATTCTAATTTTTTTTCATCAGTGGATGTGGTGTGAATAAATTTGGATTAATGGCGAATAATTCTCAGGAGACGGAGATCAGAAAGCTACTTTCTTTCTCTTTTTTTAGAATCTATATCTTTTTCGTTCTTCAGTCTCTCTGATGAGTGAGGCTTTGCATAACATCTATTTTTTTTTTTGCGCAACAGGACCAGACAATCTTTGCTTTGGTTACCATCGATTTCTTTAGTGACTAAAATCTTCTGGGTAACGTCCTCTTCAGGTCTCATTCCAAAACTATCTTTTGAAACCCTCTAATTTTTCAGCATAAATATAATGTATCGGATTGTAATCTGAAATCAGAGATGACAATTGAAGTAGAGCCTTGAGAAACCCAGAAATTGCGTTGCGAAATTATAATACCAGTACAGTACTAAATCCAAGTACAGTACACTACAGGTATAGCAGTAAAGGTATCATTTCTCAAGCAGACCCGAATGGGCTTATTCCACTGACACAATAGTAATATTCAAACTAATCGTATTGCTATACAAAATCAAAGTTCAGTATCAGCACAAAAAGCAGAGAGCCCAAAAACTGTCCGCGATTATTTTGAAATGAACACAAAATAATAAAAGCGTTCATAAAATTGTCCTCTCATTATGTAGTTGTAACACGGCACTGTATCCACTGAATTAAATAAAAATCACTTGAAATTTTGAATAACAAATACTGAAAATAAGTTTGGAGTACTGTACATGGATAAAATCGGTTGCAGTGTGAATATTGCTTATTCTTTTCAATTCTGTGAACCTGGATTTTGCTTTAAATTCCTTTCCCAAAATTTAAAAATCGCTAGTACCAATCTTCAAGGACTCAATCAGTGATTTTCAGTAAATACAAGACTAGGAACATTTTAGAAATGAGAAACCAAAAACAAAATATTTGGTAAGTGTTGATGGGAAAATGCTGTACCAGGGTACTTGGGCTGCAACAATTTCTTTTGCTATTTTACAAAGATGAAATTTTTATTGGAGAGAAAACAAAGCTGCCTATATAATTTTGAGTCAAGCAGCCTCACTTCACTGCTTCATTCTGATTGACCCCTCAAGTGCCGGAGTGGGGAAATTGGTGCACACTGGGGATGTGTCTGTATTTCTGCACAGTGACCCTGCTGTGCACCTGAAGTGTACCAAAGTTTTTCTGTTGCACATGTATATCCCTAATGTGCATCAATTGTGTGTTCACACCAGGGTTACTCAGGTTTGCATTTGTAATAAATAAGTTACACCAAGGTTACAGTTAGTGCATTTTTGTAATACTCCTGTTCTGTCACATTTGTGCACCAAATGTAGCCCTGGAATGGTAGCAAAATTACATGGACAGAGGTGCATGCTTGTAACCCCAGAATAGCCCATGTACACCAGTGTGAACATGTGCACCAGTTGTGGGGTCACACAAATATGGGATTTCATTGTAGAGAGTGTCAAGCTGTACTTCTATTTTTCATTGATTCTTTGATGGCTATTTGTGAGTGTCTGAAGAACATTTTGAATAATCTCTCATGTTTGTGCAGAAGCACAATTTTTTTCGAATTTGACATTTTCTTTCACAGAATTGATTGACTTGCAAAAAAGCATGATCTGAGTGCAGTACAGTACTTGATGAGCAACTGCGAACTCTTGTGTCATGCTCCAGTTTCTGTGCTACCCGGTCCATCAATTTCCCCGTCAACTTGAAAAATATTTTTTATGTGCGCAGGATAACGACAGCTTCCGATGAGTGCAGCAAAAGTACTGTAATTGTTTTAAGAATCTGCAGGAACGGAAAGTTCTTTGTATTTCCTCGAGTAAACAATCGTACAAAATACCATATTTACTCAAGTACAGCTTGGTCTTGCACAAGTGGTACTTGAGCAACTTTTATTTTCGAGCTTCAAAATTGGTGTGAGAAACGTATACCGCATGAGACGCGCGCGAGTGTTCTCAGTGAAAAATGTTTTCAATTTACGACATGATTAAAACTATTGAGATTATCAATTTATGTTCAATTGAAAGGAAAATTCGATTTTGCTTCTCTTTTATTATGAATTATCCAAGTTGTTATTAGTGGATAATGCGCGTATGAGTTTTGGAAAATGCCCCGAAAATTGGAATTGGAAAGTGGGGTGCGCTGTCATACGCGTGTAGATGAGGCATTTTGTTGCAGAATTTTCTAAAATTTCCAAAGGTTTTGTTGAAGGCAATCAATACTGTATCAAGTCTTGATCACAGATCATTGGTTCAATGAACAGTACGAGCTTTCTGCCAGTTCCTTGAAAGTTAGGTGCAATTGAACCTGAATAACTGAAACCTTGTTGAGTCGAATACCTCCGTATGTCGAATTTGTTTCATGTCCCCGTCTGCTGAATTCCCATTGGAAAAATGCATGAAAAGCTTTCCAAATCCGACAGCTTTTCTTCTTTAAACCGCGAATTTTCGGGATGCATTTTGGCCATTATTTTATTGAAGCAGAAAGAGAGAAGCAATAAAAAACAGCCATGCTTTCTGAAAAGAAGTGGGAGACTATAGTTGTGCAAATAAACCCTTATCTCCAACTTTAGCATCCTGTCAACTCATTCAGAAAGCAAAATTAAGGTTTAGAATATCACCAATGACTACAGTAAAATCTTGCCACAACAAAGACCGTTACAACAAATTTTTCAGTATAACAAACTTTTTTCAAAGTCCCGGCAGAAATCCTATAGGGTACATTTTATAAAAATCTTTTTATAACCAACTCCCCAATTCAATTATAAAAAAAACATTTTAAGGAACATGTGATTTCTTAAAGAAAAATCCCCAATGAGTGCAGGCAGAGTCTCAAGTTTCCCAATCAAAATGGGACTGTGACTAGTTTTTTGGGCATAAGGTGGAATCAAGGATGAAAATTATTCAAAATCCAACCAAACAATTTTTCTTTCCCAATTTTTTCCTGGGTTAGGATAGATGGTGGGGGAAAATGAACCCAACAAAACTCATGTCAAAAAGGGTTTGTATGCTTGAGAAACCCTGTGCTGATGCTTAGAAATTGTAAGCTTTTTTGGAACATCCCCCCTTATAAGTTGCTTAGAAAACCTCGATCAATAAAAAGCGCTGCATGGTGTTGACCAGTTATTCAGAATGAATGTTTGTGATTAAAATTTAAACTTCTTTTTGAAGATCGCAGTTTTTTGAATGCCAAAAACAGCTGGAAAGGTTCCAAAAGGATGATTTTAAATTTATGCTGATTTAGTTTTTAGAAAATCTCCCAATCAGTGAAAAATTTCAAAAATCTCGTTATAACAAACTTTTTCTGGAGTCCCCATACAAGTTTGTTATAACAAGATTTCACTGTATTTATTATAATTCTTTTTTCTGCACTGCATCTTATTCTTAAAGTGTTGAACATGTCTACCTTCACGCGGAACCCTCCTAAACTACCCGCCTCAAGTGCTCGAGAAAATAAATTGAATGAGTTGTGATCGAATGGATTAACATGGAATTTTGACATTTCGCCAGAGAGACACTGACGGACTCGAACGTGAACCTCAACTACACCCCGGAGACCTTCTTGACTGAGGCTACAGAGCTGTTGGTGCAAACGAGCTCTTTTGACTCTTCAGTGGGTGCAGGGAACACCCCGGGTGTGATTGGCGCCCAAGAGGTGTACCGCGATCCGCGCCAACGTCGTCGTCTCGCAGAAAAGGCGTCGGTCGTCACCACAGCCGCCTCGCCGAACCCCGAGAAAAACTCACCTTCCGCGAAAAGATGAAGATGTTTGCGGTGGAGAGCGGCGAAGGGGCGTACGGAAGATCAACCAGGAGAAAACGACGCAAGAGGTTTAAGCCGGCTTAAGCTGTCCGGGAATGTTGACCACCACAATGGGGGCCAGCCACCGGCAGAGTTACCAAACTTCTTTTTTCCTGCTGATTTTTAAATGCATATTATTGGTGAACTAGGCGTACGGAAGATCAACCAGGAGAAAACGACGCAAGAGGTTTAAGCCGGCTTAAGCTGTCTGGGAATGTTGACCACCACAATGGGGGCCAGCCACTGGCAGAGTTACCAAACTTCTTTTTTCCTGCTGATTTTTAAATGCATATTATTGGTGAACTTCTGCTGCACTCCCAGGGAGATTTTTTCCAAAAATAGGTAGATTGCATTTCCTGTTAATATTTTCCTAAAAAACTGCTGCTATAAATTATGAAGATTTCTATATATAAAATTGAAATATAAACAGTGCTTGTTTCATAGTGTATTACAACCTTCACGTCTAAAAAACTGCTGCTACAAAAATTCTACGAGAAAATTTACGAAAATATCGACAGGAAGAGATGTTTAAATATGATAAAAAATATTTAAATACATATTATTGGCAAATTTCTGCTGCACTCCCAGCAGCATAAAAATTGAAGCAGCAGTTTTTTACGAAAATATTAACAGTAAATGCAATCCAACCATTTTTGGAAAAATTGCTGCTATAATCTCAATTATAAAGCTCATCCTGTTAATATTTTCGTAAAAAAATTGCTGCAAACTATGAAGATTTATAAATATAAAAATTAAATTAATTAATTAAACAAAATTAAATATAAATAAACATTTTTAAATACATATTATTGGTGAACTTCTGCTGCACTCCCAGCCCCAAGATTATAGCAGCAGCTTTTTACGAAAATATCAACAGGAAATGCAATCCACCTATTTTAGGAAAAATTGCTGCTATAATCTCAAGTATAAAGCTCTTCCTGTTAATATTTTCTTTAAAAATTGCTGCAAACTAAGAAGATTTATAAATTGAAATATGAACAGTGCTTATTTCATAGTGTATTAAAACCTTTATGTCTCTTCATAGGTTGATTGCATTTCATTTATTAGCTTCCCTGGTCATTATAAGACAAATTCTGGAAAACCAAATCATGAAAGAAATTTGCTAGGTGTTCGTCACCCTGCAAATTTATATCATATTGAGCATTGCCATTTTTCAGTTAGAGCAATTTTACCAGTACCTGGGCTGGTCACTCATGGTGACAATGTTAAATGGACAAATTTAGATATGAATTTTAAATTGCTCCTCTAGAGTTGAACATTTTTTTGTGCTTTTGTGAAACATTGCAATCTGGAACCATAGCTAATATACTGTACACCATTACTGGGCTACGAATTTCTAAGGAACAAGGAAAAAAATTTGACATGGAGAGGTTTTGACTCAGGGAGGTTTTGATTTATGAAGGTTTTGATTTATGAAGGTTTTGATTTTTCCAGGTTTTGAATTAAGGAAAAATAATTCTTGCTGTGAGGATTAGTAGAAAAAAATTGTAAGATGCATCAACTTGTTTGTTTTAATCATTTTCTCTTTCATATTTCACAAAGATAATAACCAGAAGGCCTCAGAAAATTCAACTGACAGAGGTTTTGGAAAAAAAAGAATTTGAGTTGGGGAGGTTTTGAATGTATTGATTCTAAGTGAATTCAGACAGGGACATGAAAAAAATTTGACTTAGAGAGGAATTTGACTTTGGGAGGTTTGACTTATTGAGGTTTGCTTGTAATACATTGTAATACAGTAACTGTAATGAATTTGCCTGTGCACAATATCCATTTTCATGGCATAGACTTTATACATTTTTTCAGTCTGTGCCATGTCTGTTCTTATGGCGCAGACCTTATATATTTTTTACAGGCTGAGCCATGCAGAATTTGCCAATTTTGTGCATATATAATATGTCTATTTTCATGTGGCAGACCTCATGCATTTTCAACAGGCTGCGCCATGCAGATGTTTCCAATATTGATCATGTGCCCCATGTCTATTTTAATGGCACAGACCTAAGTCATGTCTGTTATCATATACACATTTTTTCAGTCTGTGCCATGTCTGTTCTTATGGCACAGACCTTATAAATTTTTTACAGGCTGAGCCATGCAGACTTTGCCAATTTTGTGCATATATACTGTATAATTACAGATAAAAGTACCGTGTCTGGATTCAGTACAGACAATAGTAAAGTGTCTGGACTTCTTAAAACACGTCACTAATAGAGATTAGACAGTAATAGTACTTGAACTACGGAGTTAACGATCGGTCGAGATTTGGTTTTCATCAGAGTTTCATCCATATTCCAGTACAGCTTGAGGAACTCAGTTTCAAGAAGGTTCAAAATGTTTTTGGCATGCTTTTGGAGAAGTACTGAATTTAAAGGGATTTTATAAACTCTTGTCTTGATTTGCCCAATATGCAATATTTACAAGCATGGATCAATTTTATTCAAACCAGGTTTCCTAACAAAATGTGGGGTAGAAGTTAAGTTCATACATGCAGAACATTGGTATTTATCAACTTGTCCAAAATGAGGCCATGGGAATGTGCACAGCAACCATTACCTTACCTTGTTAGGCAGAAAAAAGCAAGAAAAATCTGAAAAGTGAGAATGAACCCTACACTGGGAATGCAGCAGCACAGTTTTCCTTTCTTCATATGTTGTAAACAAAGTGATCATTCAAAATGTTTGAAAACTGCAAGATATAAAAATTAAAAAGAATTTAATGGCTGGCTTGACAATTAGCCCACCTTTACATGGGTGTAGAACTCAGGTCATACTTAGAAAATTTTTTCTTATCCTAAAGCAGTGAATTTAAACCATTTTACCTCAAAAATTCTAATATTTTCCAACATCCTGGGGTAGATCAAAGCTGATGTTGCACTCAAGCAGGAAGACCTTCAAGTACACAGAGTTGTCCAAGTAAAAAAAAAAACAGTTGGGCATAAATAGAAACATAGTGTTATCCTTTACTTTTCTTATAGTAGTACATTGTGTGTTATTTCATTCGGTTTTAACGATACCTATGACTCTCGAGTCCTCCTTTTATACGTCCAATATATCCTTTATAAACCTTCACATCGAAGTTTCCTTTAATTGTTAAAGAGAAATGCAGAGACCACCGAATAAATGCTCCAAATAAGAGGGATTAGAAGATTACAGATTAATTACATTGTTTCAAGTGTTTTGGAGCACCTAGGACTTCTCCCACAGAAAGCCTGGGAAATTCATTGGATTTTCGAGGCACCTGGAGTGCAGTTAATTTACTGAAGTATTGTTGGCAAGACTGACCGCTGACTGCAACCTCAGAACGGCGCCAGAGAGGATTTCAAAGGCTTAAGCCCTTCTTGCGTCGTTTTCAACCTGCGTCGTTTACCGGGTACCCATAAAATTCCATAGTGCCGGAGGATTTTTGACGATGCTTGGAAGATTCAATTGGACAAGCTCATTCAAAGCAGTTTAGAACCCATCAATGATCATTGATTGAGTATCATATTCCTTCCTCTTTGGTCCAGTTGAGGAATTTTGTAAAGACTGACTCATTCGGATAGTTTTGCTAAATATTTTGCCTAATTCTGAGCAGATGATAACTCCTCCTTGATTTCGTTTCGTATAGAATTTTCAACGCGACAATTCTCGACCAATATAAATGTTTGATGTAATTTTCCGCCCATTACTGAGAGAATAGTAACCCATTCTCCTTGATTCAGCTACTGTTCAATAATTTTGGGACGGAAAAAATATGTTCGCAGTTTCCGGCAC